GTCAAGTGCATTGGTATACATTTCTAGTTCTAGCTACTTATAAGGCTAAGGCTGGAGGATCACTCTAGTCCAGAAGTTCAAGAGTAGACTGGGCAACACAGTGAGATCCCATAGGTGTGCCAAGAATCATTCTGAGGTATAAACTTAAGGCCTTGTATCATCTTTGAGCCTTTCCCTGGGCATGCATAGTCAGTTTCTAACATTCCCTACATATGCATTTGTTTTTGAATGTTCTTAATATTTATTGAGTCCCAAAAAAGAGGAAAAGAAAATGAAAGGGGAGCAAAGGGCACTAGCACTCCATATCCTCTGGAAGTCACTTTAGCTGGCATGGAAGGTTGTTGCAAGAGTGAGTAGAGGCTAGCACAGTGGCTCAAGTGGTAACAGCACCTGCCTAGCAAGTGTGAGACCCTGAGTTCAAATCCCAGTGCTGCCAAAAAATAAAGTCATTCGTGCAATTGCCATTGCAATGGAAACAAAAGAGTGGAGGTGCAAAAATGAATGCTGCTCTATATCCCTGTGATCAGATGATGCACAATTAGCTGTCACAGCAGAGATCGCTGATATTTAGAGGACAGGTTCTTTTTGCCCATCTTGGCCTGTGCTTCTGAACTGTGGTCAGGTTGTGCCTGAAACAGGTGCACAGTTGCCTATCACGTGGCACAACTAGTAGTGCTGCACTTCAAATACAGATCCAGGTCTGTGTGTAGCTCAATGGTACAGCCCTATGCAGCATGCACAAGGCCCTGGGTTCAATCCCAGCACCAAAAACCAAATCAGCAAAAAAATAAATACAGGCCCATTTGGTTCTTTCTACTACACACTGCTGTGTTCCACAGGACAGGATGCAAAAAAGGAAAACAAAACAAAACAAAAAAACTTTCTTGAACTTCCCAAGCCCTTTGCTGTTGTCCTGAAGTTGTTCTGGCATTCACAGGCTCACATTGCTCCCATTGCTGCCTTCCCAGGCCTGCTCTCTGGAGATCCTTCCAGAAGCTTGAAGTTCTCCCTTTGGCTTGTAGATATGGCCTCACTGTGCACTCTGCCTTGGGAACACCTTCTTAAGATCCATGGCTCCACAATCACCTCTCCTCTTTGTTTATATTCCCAGAAGGAAAAAACCTTTGTTCCATCCCCTCACTTTTCTCCTTCTAGATTTTTCTCATCTCATCTGTTCTAAGGAAACACAGCACCTCTTTTAAAAGAAAATATTTTTGTGAAAAACAAGCATAAAAAAGTAGCTTAATGAACTACTAGATTCAAAACATAATAACTACATTGCTGGTACCCTGAAAGCTTCTTATGCCACTTCCTAATCATAGTTCTCTCCCTCCCTAAAGGCAGCCAGCATTCTCACTTTTATGATAATCACTTCCTTTTCTTTCTTATATTCACCCTGGGAGTGTGTGTGTGTGTACAGGCGGGGCAGTTCCATGAACATGATGGCTCCTATAAGCTGTGCTGCCTACAGCTGGCTTTCAAGTTAACAGGTGATCGACCCTCCATGGATGAACAGTACAGACTAAAGATCTCCCTTCACTGCCCTCCAGAGCAAGAGCCCTCAAATAAGGAGTTGCATCTTATTTATCCCTGTCTCTAAAAGCTCACAGCAGGTCCTCCTCCCTTGCAAAGAGTCCAGGGAACACCTAGAAGCAGGTGCTCCTACCAAGAGTTTCTGGAGTTAGTTGAAGGGAACTGGTGTTAACAATGACTCAAGCTTCAACTTGATCTAGTTTCCTCTGCAGTAGGCAAGAGCCCCACCTACTGGCTTCCTCAGTAACTGCAGATAGCTTAAGCAGCCTCTCCAAGATTTGAAGAATTAGTTGACAGTTAAGAAATTGTTTTCCTGACAGCTGAATTAGAACCAAGAGTATTACACTAGAGCCAGGCATAGTGACACACACCTGTAATCCTAGCCTTCTGGAGATAGAGGCAGGATAGCAAGCTCGAGGGCAGTCTGGGCTACCTAGCAATACTGTCTCCAAAAAAAAAAAAAAAAAGCATTATACCGGACTCTAAGTCTTCTAATATAGTCAGGTGAACAGAATAATGTACTAACTCCTGAAACAAAATGTCATTGCCAGCCAGGCATGGTGGTACATGCCAGTAATCTCAGCACTAGGAAAGCTGAAACAGGAGGATCTGAGTTTCATGCCATACTGAACTACACAGCAGGGTTGAGCTGCATAGAAAGACTGTCTTAAAAAAAAAAAAAGGGGGTGGGGGCAGGAGGGAGAAATGACCCAAGCCTTGTATGCACATATGAATCAAAAAAAAAAAAAAAAAGCTAATGTGGTAAACAATGTTCTTACCACAATAAGACAAGCAAAAGTGAGATAACAGTTTCATTTATCCAAATAGCAGAGATCAATTTAATAGTGTTGGCCAGAGAGCAAGCAAAGAGGTCCTTTTATAAATTGTTGCTGAAACTACAAGTTAATACAACAGCTTTAGAGGGCAATGGACGTTAAGGGTGGGACTGGGATGGCTCAATGGTAGAACACTTGCTAGAATGCTGTAGGGCCTCGGTTTGATGCCCAGCGTAAGAAAAATAAACAACAAAAAAAGTTTAAGTGCACATATCCCCTGAAACAGCAGGGCTTTTTTTTTTTTTTTTTTTTTTAGTACTGGGGCTTGAACTCAGGGCCTACACCTTGAGCCACACCATCAGCTTTTTTTTTGATAGGATCTTGCAGACTATTTGCTGGGGGCTGGCTTCGAACCTCAATCCTGATCTCTGCCTCCTAAACAGCTAGGATTATAGGTGTGAGTCACTGGTGCCCAGCTAGGTATTATAATCTAAAGATGACTAAGTATACAAAGTGTTACACGGGTTATGAAAACACTGAGCTGTTGTATGCATGGGACTTGACCACTACAGATTTTGGTAAATGCAGGTCTTGGAACCCATCTCCCACATACCAAAGGATGAATGTACACAAACAGTTCCATTCCAGGAAATGGGACCTTTCATTTTTACATCATTAGATTTAATAAGGATACAATTATATTTGAAAATGGGAGCATGGGAGAAGGGGAATACCCTTCTGGGGGTGGGAGGGTGCTGAGAATTGAACTTAAGGCCACATGCTTGGCAAGTGCTCTTACCACTGAGCTACTGTGCCAACGTTCCAATTACTACCTTTCAAATACCTGCATAAGCAGTTTTCAACTGTGGTTGCTCATTAAACCCACCAGGGAGGGATCTTTACAAACTTCTAGTACCCTCATGTATTCACACATTCAGGATCAGGGTCTGACTCAACAGGCCTTAGGATTGGCCCCTGGGTATCAGTTAAGTCCCACAGATAATTCTAATATTTAGCTGGTAGAAAACATATTTCTTACTTTGTGAGTCCTTCACAAAGTCTCTGTCACAATTTTTTTTTTAAAGACCTTTAAAAACGTAAAAACCACTCAGCCTGTAGGTAATATAAAAATAAACCACTGGCAAGATGTGGCATAGGACATTTTTCCAGCTCCCAATTTAGACTACTTACTAGCTGGAATAAAGCTTGGAAAAGGTAGTATGACAGGAGGTACGACCAAGAGCCAGCAAACTACTGCCTAGGGAACTCACAGGTAGGTCTGGACCCTTGCCCTCTATTTGGCACCGGTTGTTCCAGTGTGGGTAGGAGGTGGGAGGGGTTTAGACTAACAATAATAAAATTCCCAAGACACATTATAAATCAGTTTATTGTTTTGTAGTAAGATGCAGAACCTTTACCATGCAGACTAAAATACCTCCATCAGCATGAACAATGCATTTCCTTCCTTGAAGCAGTTACACAGAACACTAGGTTTTATCAAGTTATTTAGTTGGTGTGGAATCCAAACAAGGGGAAGCTACTCTTAAGACCTATGTTCTATCCATGAAGCCTGCAATACATTTTTCCAGCACACGAACAGCCCAGGCTCTGGAAAGCTCAGACTTTTCCCTCCCCTTTGCTCTGAGTGAGCACATCAGCATCCTTGGCCTAGTCATTATGTCTCTCTGCTGCTAACTAGTGGCTGTTTTTTGGCTTTTGTTTTATGGGTCAAACTCAGTGCCTCACAAATGCTCTGCAAGCACACGACCAGACCATTGAGCTACACCCCAGCCCTACTTTTTTATTAACCTCACTTTTAATTAAGGTTCTGAAAGGGGAACATCAATTAGTCCCATGTACCAACTTCGAGACACAGTAATAATCCTGTTGGGATGCTCTCTGAATCCCACTCTTGTGAAGTTTTATGGATCACCTGCTTTGGAAAGGTTCTTTCCACCTCTATTAGCGCATACAGAGGTTACCTAGGAATTCACTTAATGTAACCTACTTCCTACTGAAGACTGAGCATTTTAATTGTTTTTTTTCCTGCACTTTCTTTTTTTGTTTTGTGGGAATGAGGTTTGACTCAGGGCCTCATGCTTCCCAGCCAGGTGTTCTACCACTTGAGCTGTGCCCCCAGCCCCTTTCCTCCACTTTCTTGATCAGTGATCCCCAACCATGTAGGAATTAATAAATCCGTGTCACCACTGCTACCAAGAGAAACGTACTTCTCACATAAAATGCTATTTTGTTCTCAGTGATTTAAAAACAGAAGATGTAGTCCTCAACTTAGTACAACACCAGTAAGGGTGGAAAATTGCCTGTCAACAGTAGAAAAGTTTGCTTTCAAATTAAAAACAAAAATGTACTGCAAACATTATGTAATAGTGACAAAATTACAGAAAACAAAACATTCAGACTGGCCCATGGCATTCACACACTAGAATTTTATAAAATGTTATATTGAAAAAAAGTTAATTCTTATCCCCAAAAGTTGGTATAGGTCCATGTTGGTTCAGAGCTTTGGTCAAAGACCTAATGAGGATGAACTTCATAGTGCATGCTTAACAGACATATATATATATACACATATAGTAAACATTGTTTTTTTTTTTTTTTTTTTTTTGAGGTACTGGGGCTTGAACTCAGGGCCTACCTTGAGCCACTCCACCAGCCCTTTTTTGTGAAGAGTATTTTCAAGATAGGATCTCACTATTCGCCCAGGCTGGCTTTGAACTGCAATCCTCTTGATCTCTGCCTCCTGAGTAGCTAGGATTACAGGCATGAACCACTTGTGCCCACCCATTAAACATTCTTTAACTGCCCCCCACCAGGGCTTTGAGGAGGGATAAAATGTGGACATGTGCACTCACCATGGGCGCAATTCACCAATTATAAAAATTCATACGTGACGCTCTACTATGTCTTGAGCAATAGCTAAGATTTTATCTGTGGTAACCCACCTCTGAAAATCACAACAAAAATCAATAAGAAATGATTTAATATAAAATATACAAATTTCCCAGTATGAGGACTTCCATAGAACAGGAAGAAGGGAATGACAACTAAACCAGCTTTTCTGAAAAACAATATTCTTCTTACTTTGTCTCTGATACTCAACACTCAAAACCCAATCTGTTCAAAACAAGGAACACACAAAAGGACCAGAGAGAATGTTATATTGCAGTTTCAGGACCTACTCTTATCTTTTGTCCTTACCAAAAACCTTCCCCCCTTACAGAGCTGAGTTCCTGGGTCCTCCAGAGGTGAACGGCCTCCCATCATCATCCTTACTTTGCCAAAGGTGGGTGACACCAGGTCACTCGCTGTCAAACTTGACAGAATTGACTTGGACAGAGATGGAGCCTCCCCGGTAGCTACCCCGCTTCTTCTTAGTTTTCTCATGCCGGAAGGATTTGCCTTTGGTGAACTTCAGAACCTGATTGGCTCGCTCCCCCCAGTCTCCAGCTGCACCTCGCTGGTAAAGACAGATGTGGTTGACACACAAGGACAATGCCAGAATCTTGTCTCCTTCTCTTTCTACTCCCTGATCAATGCAACCTGAACCACCACCCAACCTCTGAATGGTAAACATCTTCTGCTTCTCTTACCTTGGCATCAAAAGAGTTGTCTGCCATTCGTGAATCCACCTCAATTTCTTCCTCCCTGACTCTTCGGAATGGGGAAGATGCCCTTTTTTCTCCCTGGAGAATGAAGTAGAGAATTAAAGATGGAGTGATTATATAATAGTTCTCCCAAACGATGTGCCTATAGTACCAGACTAAGCCGAGCTGTCAAAATGATACTAGATTTTTCTTTCTAGTTTTAAAGGACTATCTCTCGAGAAGAAAATTAAACATACTTTCTTCCTTTTTGGAAATGTGTTGGGAGTCTGAAGCTTTATTTTGGCTTGAGGAGTCTCTGCCTCCTTGGTTGCCTCATTATGCTTCCGCTTCTTTCCTGAACCTACAAAGCAAAAAGCCAGACTCAGAAGGCCAGCATAGTAGTACATACCACAATCCCAGCAATCAGGAGGCCAAGGCAAGAGGATTAAGGTTAAGGCCAGTCTGGGATACAAAGTGACCCTGTCTCTCAAGATGCAAAACCAAGCCAGACTTGGAAGACCAGGTTCCTAGTCCTCCAGAACCTCTGGGTTCCCAGAGGGTCCACAATGGGAAGCCTAGTGATATGCCTCCTTTGTCAGCCTCACTCCCCAAGAGTACATTCTATGCAGACTTAGGGGACCAAATGAGGAGGGCAGGTTCTCTGGATACAGACCTGGCTTAGAAACTGATACTGCTGCCTTTTTCTTCTCTTCCTCCTCTGCCTTGTTGTGCTTGCCTGCTTTTCCATTCTGGGAAGTTAGTGTTGGGGTGCCATTGGTTTTGGAAGCTTGTGGTTTTGGAGTGCCCTTGCCCTTGGGCTTCTCTTCCTCCTCCTCCTCACTAGAATCATCAGATGAAGAGCTGCTGCTGCTCTCAGCAGCCATTACTTTCTTCGCAGAGGCTGGTTTGGAAGAGGCTCCACCTCCTGCTGCCTTTTTTTTAACTGGAGTTTTAGGTGTCTCCTCTTCACCACTGGTGGAGCTGTCAGAATCCGAGCTGCTGTCCCCACCACTCTGAGAAACCTGTTTGGCAGGCAGAGATGGTACTGCTTTGGGAGTCACCTTGGTCTTAGGGGTGGCCACAGTCTTCTTTGTTGTCTCTTCCTCACTGGAACTGCTCTCCTCCTCACTGGAGCTGCTATCAGCTTTTCTGGTAAGAGGTTTCTGGCCACTGCCTACAGGTTGTTTAGGAGATGCAGCTGGCTTAGCTACATTCAGCTTGGGAGTGACAGCTGATTTACTTAAGGAATTTTTGGTGGTACTGGCTGGCTTGGCAGGAGCTTCATCCTCAGAGCTGTCAGAGTCTAGACAGAAGGGACAGAATGAACAGCTCCCCATATCAGATTGAGGGGAGTTCTGTAGCAACTAAGGAAGGGCGAAAATACCCCACTGCCCTGAGAATCTCTTTATGCCTTACCTGAACTGTCTGTAGAGCTCTCTGCTGCCTTCTTTGCTAGAACTGGTTTAGTGGTTGCTTTGGAGATGACTGCCTTAGCTGAGGGTTTCTTCTCTTCCTCAGAACTTGAATCTGGAGAGATTCTGCCATTATTCTGGGTCCAGATTCCCAACCCCACAACAGAAAGAATGCAAAGACACACACAATGCCTTAGACCTATCCTACTTCTGCCAAAAGTAGGGACATAGGATTTTTCTTCTCACCCCTTTCCACCACTTTCAGGGGTAGACAGCACACCCCTCTGACTCACCAGACTCATCACTGCTATGTTCATTGCTTTCCACAGGCTGTTTCTGCTCTGCAGCTTTCTTGGGAGGCTGGGTTCCCAAGGACTTCTTCAACGGGGGAGCAGAAGGCGGGGGGACTGAACTATAGGGACCTGTTTAAAAAGGGAAAGTCTGGTGGCTTTAAAACATGTACATAAGGGCTGAGATTGGCTTAGTGGTACAACACTTGCCTAGCATTCACAAAGCCCTGGGTTCAATACTCAGGTTGCCCCGCCAATCCCCCACTACACACAAATGTACTCAAATTCTTTGATACTACTTCTTTCTAGAAACAGAGCTTAGTGTGGGCTGAATTAGTGACTCAATAATGAACAGAATGTCATGTCTGAATATAGATTACATGAAGCATTCACTGCTGGTTACTCCCTGCTTTTTTGGATCCCTAAGTTCTAAGCTAGGGAACCAGCTGTTGTGCCAATGAGGACATGCTAGCAACTCTATGGAGAGGCTGTGCAGCTCAACCCTCCATGTCCAATCACCTGGTTTTTTCTTCATGGGTTTTGTCTGCTCCTCCTCATCCTCACTGGAGGAGTCTTCACTGCTGGAACTCTTCTGGGTAGGGGTGACAGCTGCTTTCACTGGGGCTTTGACCACAATTTGCTTTTTAGGTACAGTCTGTATCAGAGAGAAATTACCAGAGGAAAATATTGACCCAAACAATCCTGCAGGGAATGGAGGTACACATATAACTCACATTCCTGTCACTTCTTCCCTGGTAGAAGTTATGGCCCAGACCTTCTTTGAGATTGTTGCTGACTTCTCCTCCTCTGAGTCATCACTACTGCTGCTGCTGCTGCTGCTGCTGCTGCTGCTGCTGCTGCTACTGCTGTCAGCTGCTTTGCCATTGGCTACATTGGGTGCTGCTCGAGCTGGTGTACCTAAGAAGGAAAAAGAAACAGAGTAAGAAGCATTAAGGTTAAGTCAGGGAACCACAAAAAATTTCCTTCCTATTACCACAGAACTTAAGAGTCTACCAGTTTTAACTTTAGGGCAACCATGCAGAATACCATGGTTTATCAGGATAATTTTCTTGTCCAATGCCTAAAAAAAGACAACACAACACAAATAATTTTAATAGGCCCTCTGTAGTCTTTCTCTTCAACCTTTATTCACAGGAGCTCTAATAAATCATAGCCTAGCTTTCACCACAAGAAAAGCTGAGGAGGGAAAAAAACCCTCAGTTGTCCTATGGAATGAAGGTGTAGGTCAGTGCAAGGTGTAAGGTGGTATTTGCTGCAGGGAAATGGTAAAAAAGTAGCAAAAAAGAACAGATGAATACACATCTATAATCCCAGCTACTTGGAAGGTAGAGACAAGAAGATAGCAGGTTTAAGGCCAGTCTGGGCAAACAGGATACAAAACAAAAGGGCTGAGGGTGTGACTATGGCTTAAGAGTACTCGCCTAGCATGCACAAAACTCTGGGTTCAATCTCAAGTACTGGGGGGAAAAAAAAAAGAATAGGTGTATAGGCTAGGGGTGTGGCTCAGAGGTAAAGCAGTACTTAGTATGTGTAAAGCTCCAAGTTTGATCCCTAGCACCAAAAAAAAAAAAAAAAAAAAAAAAAAAGTCTAAGTGGTCACAGATGGGTATAGAAAATGTCTTAGATGTAAGGCTGGCGAAGTGGCTCCAGTGGCATCTGAATAGCAAGTGTGAGGCCCTGAGTTCAAACACCAGCACAAAAGCAAAAAGCAACCCACAAAACCAAAAAACTTCCAAGATGTCTATTAGCTGGGGACATGGCTCAAATAGCAGAGCACCTGCCTCACAAGTGAGGCCCTCAGATTTAATCCCCTAGTACCATAAAAAAAAGATGTCTATGAAATACAACTGAAAAAGATAATTAAAAGCCTATTTAATTTGCAGTACTGGGGCTTGAACTCAGGGCCTACACCTTGAGCCACTCTACCAGCCCTATTTCTGTGATGGGTTTTTTCAAGATAGGGTCTCATTAACTATTTGCCTGGACTGGATTTGAACTGCAGTCATCCAGACCTCTGCCTCCTAAGTAGCTAGGATTACAGGCATGAGCCACCGGCGCCAGTCATAACAAAAGCCTATTTTAAAAAGTATTTTTACAATGAACTTGGTGTTGCACACGTGTGATCCACACATAGGCTCTGTAGGCTGAGGTAGGAGGATTTTAAGTTTAAAGCAGGCTTGGGCTACACAGCAATAATCAGTCTATTTTTTTTTCCTTCCTTGCTATAATCATTGTTTCTCTTATGTACTAGCCTCTTACTAGGAAGTCTTGCCATTTATTAAATTTTCCTTAAAAACAAACAAACAAACAAACAAAAACCATCTAGCCCAACAACCAGTATCATTTCACCCCAGGGCCTAATGAGCAATTTAAGCTGCAATCTCCACAGCACTGTAGTCCCAGCTGATCCTCTGGGGAACATAAACAATACCTGGTTTGGTTGCAGCTTTTGGCTGAGCTTTAGCTGCGACAGGCGTTGTTGTCTTTGGCTTCTGGTTCTTTGGTGCCTCATCCTCTGAGCTTGAGTCAGAATCAGACTCAGAGCTCTGAGCCTTCTTAGGGGGAGTTCTGGCTGCCTTGGCCTGGGGCTTAACTGCCTTCTATTAAAAAACATACAAGGGGGAAATCAGGAAAAGTTTCAGGTACCCAAGAGGTGTGCTAGGATTTTATTTCTCAGGGGCCTAATGGAGCATTAGCGTGACAGAATGTAGCAAGCATAAAATAATCTTAATAAGACACAAAAAGTTCAGCTGCTTCAAACAAATTCTTGGAGCCTTAAATAGTATTCCAGAAGAACCCAACGTCTTCAAACAGAGGGGCTGAATTTTCTCTAGATTTGGAGCCCAACTTCAGCTTCTGTTCCAGACCTCAAACTAACGCCACCCTGAAAATCCCTGGGTTTTATTCCCCGTAGTTACCTACTAAACAGCTATCACCCACCACCCCGTGATCACAAGCTAGAGGCCAATTTTAGGTTCTTCTTTTTCCAACCCTTAAGTGACCACCTCTCCTTCCAAAGCTGCAAACCTGGATGGGTTTTTTCTTTTTGTTGTCGTCCTCATCATCACTGGATTCTTCACTGCTGCTGCCCTCTGGAGCTTTGGCTACAGATTTTCCAGGATGCTGAGGCAGACTGGTCCCCTTGGCAGGTACAGCTGAACAAAACCACAGGTCCCAGTTAGAATTAGCCATGTTCCCCAGGTAGGTGGCACACATGCCTCATCGTGGAGCCACCATGACCAATCTCCTTGCCCTTTCTTACCAGCTTTCTTAGCTGGAGGCTCCTGAGTTTTCTCTTCCTCCTCACTGCTATCCTCACTGCTGTCACTGGACGAGGTCTTCTTTGCCTTCTTAGCCACTGGCCCGTTTGTCTGTAACTTCCGCTTTGGGGCCTTGGAGGACCTGCTGATGTAGATAAAGCTAACTTCTGGGGGGATCAAGACCTTTTCAAACCAAGGAACATCCCAGCCCACATTAGGGGAGAAAACAGCCCAAGTGGAACAGGGAAGGCTTACTTGAGCCAGAAGCTATAAATGTCCAAGAGAGAAGAGGCGTTGGCATCCTGCTGTGTCTGTAGAAGAGAAAAGGATGGGTAAGGAAATGTTATTCTTTTATTAAATGTGACCTGCTATATACCAACTAAATTTGGAGTGAATATTACATCTTCCTGAGACTTTTCCTACTTGCATAAACTAGGAGAAATGTATTCTACATGTAGAATGTATTTGGGCACCAAAAACTTGGGCTATTCTTATAGTTTGTGACGCTGTTCCACTGCCTACCAACACACCTTTACTCTAGCAATATATTATCTAAGAATTTAATCTTACTGGGTACTGGTGGCTCACGCCTGTAATCCCTGCTACTTGGGAGGGAGAGATCAGGTGGACTGTGGTTCAAAGCCAGCCTGGACAAATAGTTTGAGAGAACCTATCTTGGAAAATACCTAAAACAAAAAAAAAAGGGCTGGTGGCTCAAGGTGTAGGCCCTGAGTTCAAGCCCTAGTACTGGAAGAAAAAAAAAATCTTATACTGAAACAAGGGCACAAACACTAACACAAGGTAGTGTTTGCTGCAATATGAATTTTCATACCAAATCACTGGAAACAAGTCTCCAAGAGAAGATTGTTATGCACACAGGAAAGAACTGCGTTCAGGAGCCAGATGCAGTGGTACAGACCTGTAATCCTAGCTATTTGAGAGGTTGAGAAAAAGAGAAAAGTTTGAGACCAGCCTGGGCAATATCCTAAAACAAAACAAAAACTGGCTGGTGGAGTGGCTCAAGTGGTGGAGCACCTGCCTACCAAGTGAGAGGTTCCAAGTTCAAACCTAAACACTGCTCCAAAAGTGATGAAATATACCTAATATGAATTTGCCGGGCACTGATGGCTCATGCCTGTAATCCTAGCTACTCAGAAGGCAGAGATCAGGAGGATTACGGTTCAAAGCTAGCCAGGGCAAATAGTTTTCAAGACCTATCTCGTAAAAGCCCATCACAAAACAGGGCTGGCAGAGTGATTCAAGGTGTAGGCCCTGAGTTCAATCCACATACCACCAAAAACAAACAAACAAACAAAAAACTGAAGCCAGGAGTGGTCATGCACATCTGTAATCCCAGCACCTGGGAGGCTGAGGCAGGAGGCTCATGAGTTTGAGGCCAGCTTGGATTATAAAGCAAGAGGGCATTGTCTCAAAAAACAAAAAACAAAGAATTACATTCAGCTATTTATTAACCACACTGATAAAGTATTAGTTGATACAAACAAAAACTGGCAAGGCATTACAGTACACACAAGAACACAGGCTTATAGGCTAGAGGAATAGCTCAGTGGTAGAGTGTACAGTGTACACTTAACACGTGTAAGTAAGGTCCTGGGTTCGATCCCCAGCACCATCATAAGTAAATAAATAAAATCTTCTTGACTTAGCCTCCCAAGCACTGGGATCACAGGCATGTGCCACCAGGCTGGGTAAGTACAGATGTGGACTCACCTCCATCAGTTATTATGATGACCCTGGGCAAAATACGACACATCTTATTAAACTATTGAGTAGAGGAGATAATGCACGGAAAGAGATCAGCATCTGGGAACAGCACCTGGCACTTAGTAATCCCTTCACAAAGATTAGCTTTTGTCACATAAAACCAAAGAATCCCACCTCTGAAATACTCAATTTCTTGCAGTCTCCCTAACCAGTTAACTCAAACAGATCCATTAAGGAAGCAGTTACAGCTGTGAGCCATGATGCACTTCACTCCCCCTCCCAATCCCAGCACTAGAAAGGCTCAGGAAGGAGCATCTACATTATCCACATACACCCTGTCTCAGAAAAGAAAGCAGTAACATCAGGCTGTCCCAGCTTAAGGAAGTCATTTATGAAACTCATCTGATCCCCTCCTTTTGCAGCCTGATTCTGTTACAAAGAACTAGCCTGCCTTGTTTTAGTCAAGTTATCACCCCTGACAAAGACTACCTACTACTCTACTTCAAGGTAGTGTTCCTACCCAAGCATGACTGCTACTGTTTTTTGGGTGGCATTGAGGTTTGAACTCAGGGCCTCATGCTTGCCAGACAAGCACTCTACCACTTGAGCCACTCCACCAGTCCTTTTCTGTGATGGGTTTTTTCAAGATGAGCCACTGGCACCGGGCTGTGACTGCTTTTCTTAATATGTAGATTCCAATTCTTTCACACTGCTGATCGCCTTGCTTTTACAGGTGTTTGGACAATCCTAAATTGCCCTAACTAAGGTAACAGTTACCTTAATCTGATGCATCCTGTGTATCAGCATTGAGATGGGTACTTTCTACATTTTCTCTGACACAAAAATCTTACAAAGTGGATAATAATGTTCTTGTAGAAAAGAAACAGGCTAGGGGAGGCTAACCAAGCTGCCAGACTCATACATCTAAAAAGTAGCAGAGAGGTCCCAAATCTAGGTTTTTATGATCCCATCAGCCAATGATCCAAGCCCATTGCTATGCTGGCTTGGTAGGAGAAAATGCTTAATCCTTCTGCTTCAGTATAACTGAAAGCAGAACCTGTCCCTGCTCTCATTCATTGTCTTCCATAGTAACAAAAACTCTAGCCTTCACTTCTATGGAGTTTATGTTGGTGACCCAGGTAAATGAGTAAAGGAAGATCACACGTTGCCTCTGCTAACAAAACGTCCCCTTAAGGAACCAAGAACAGCCAATACCCTCGTTGGGACTCGGCACTTGGTCCTTACCGCACTCGGCCGGCCACGTGACCTGGGCCACGCGGATCCCACGCTGCCGCCGCTGAATTGTTCACCAGGAAAAAGCAACAAAGCTCAGCACCATCTAGTCCGAACCAATGGAATACGAGGCGCCGAGGCCCCAGGTTTTCTCCGGTCACCCAACAGGTCATTACAAAAGCCTCGTAGACATTGGAGTGGCGGACCCCAAAGACCTTTCCCAGCAGAAACCTAAGCCTGGAGCCTTGTGATCATCCCACCCCGGCCCGAGTACCAAGCCCAAGACTCACAGCGCCTGTCGCTTTAGCGAACTTAGTGGCCACCTCCGAGAGTTGGTTATCACGCAGAAAACCGAGTATGAGGGGATAAAGGTCGCTGGGCACCACGCGGCGCAACCCGGCGTCCGCCATCCTTCTGGCAATATGCGTCACTACCGTCGCGGACGCAGAACGACTCAGGAATACAGGAACTCGACCAGGGCTGGGGGCGGGCCCTGTGCCGTCATCGCGCCGCGCGAACGAGTAGCGGAAGGGGCGGAGCTCCATAAGATAGTCCTCTCTCCGCCTCGGAGGCAGGGTCAAGGAGAAATCGACAAATTCTTTCCGGTCTCACGTGGGTCGCCATCTTGATAAGGGCGGAGCCCACCGGCAGCCACTTTGTAAGGGCGGGGCTCTGACGTCAGGGTCACGCCCCCGGCCGTGGCGGGAAAAGTCGCGACTTCCCGCGCGTTTCTGCTGGAAGCACCTTTTCGCATGGCTGCAAGTTCCCGTTCCCCAGATGTGACTCAGAGTTCAGAATAATGAATGGACTGGCAGGCTCCAACCATCTTTCGCCTCTTTAAAGATGCCTATCAGACCTCAGACGTCTGGTCATGACGTCCCCCAACCACTCCATTCGTGCTGATGTTTTCCTTCCCATTTTCATTCCAACACGCAGGGAGGCCTTATCAGATACCTAAACCTCCAGATTCCCACCTCTACTGCAGATCTTTGAACTGGTGGTGGCAGAGGTATTGATTCCCTAAGCTACCCTCCCTCAGTCATGCCTTGTACAAGAAAGCCCTCCCTCCTTCACTCAACCTTAGTTCAAGTCCATGAAGGGAAAAGTGATCGTGACCAAAATTGAATCGCACAGCAGTTAATTCCTTAAATCCACAGTACTGAAAATAACCCTTTTTTTTTTTTTCCAGACTACAGTTCACTCTTTCTCATGACTAACTCCAGTATCAGTGCCCACTATCAGCCAGCGATCCCTTCAATAATTCCCATTAATGCTCTTCAGGAAGGATAAGAACCCACTTTTGTGTGTGTGTGTGTGAGACTGAGGTCTTACTCAGGGACTCTTGCAAATCAGGTGCTGTACCACTGAGCCATACCTCCAGTTCGTTTCTTCTTTTTGGCAGTTCTGGGGTTTGAACTCAGGGCCTCACACTTGGTAGGTAGTTGCTGTACCATTTGAGCTACTCCACCATACCTGCTCTGGTTATTTTGGAAATGGGGGTGTTTCTTGAACTATTTTTCCTGGTTGGCCTCGACCAGTGATCCTCCCCATCTCAGCCTCTCAAGTTAGCTAGAATTATAGCTGTGATCCACTGGAGCTGACTATGGTTCACTTTCTTGAGATGCCCTTCTCAGTCTTTCTCAACCAAGAACTCTCCTCTCTGAAAACTCTAATATCTTCATATCCCCCAGAGATAAATTCAATCTCTGTGCTTGCATTCTGTAAAACACTGAAGCACATGCTGCATGAAATGTATTATGCTCAAACTAAAATAGTGAACTGACACAAGCCCCAGTTTAGAACACCTTTATTTGCAACAAATAAGAGATTCCTCTAGGTCCTTGCTATGGAAATCTCTTCCTGGAGTAGTACCATCTCCCATTGTTTAAAATGCAGACGCACCACTCAGAAGTCTGAATCTGCATCCCAGCTACTCAGAAGGCTGAGTTATGAGGCAAGAAGATCAGGAGACCTGCCTGGGCAACTTAGCAGCAACCCTGTCTTAAAATAAAGTAAGAAAGGGCTAGGGATGTTGCCTATCAGACCTTAGACCCTGAGTTTAATCCCTAGTACTGCAAGAAAAACAAAAAAATTCCAACCCTGCAAATGTCCATTCAAGTTTGAGAAGCACTTCCCTCCCTGACTTATTTCACAAACAATACACCAAAGGAGCCAAGTTTAAAATCCAGTGGAATTTTGCACCTGACCAGAGATCTAAATGGAGGTAAGCATGTCAATGAAAAAGGGAATACATGTGGCACTAGCACCACAGAAGCAGCACAATAACACAAGAATGCTCTCTAATTCATATTTATTAGTCTGCATAGTGACTTAAATGTTCCAAACGCTGGAGAAAGCCCTCAGCCCCAACCATCTTACATAGGAATGCAAGTTAACTTGTTTTCAACACCTGTTATAAAAAACAAATACCCATTTAAAAAAATCTGATTTAACACATTTTTTTATTTCACGTTTTTCCATTTCTTATAAAACAGTCATCTCCTCACTAGCAGCTCTCTCCCCTAGAGTGGGGGAGGGGGATGGAGGAGGTTGGGCACCTCCAAAGAAAAAGGGATGGGGGGGAGGGCCCAGGGTTACCTCCGCAGATTCTTCTGGGCCTGTTTCAACAATGTGTCAAAGTCAAGAGAATCAAATTTGCTCTTTACAGGAGCAGGGTCAAAGTCTTCCCGGTTTGAGTCTACAAAGGTAGAGAGGTACAAACATGAAGGTCTCTTACCACACTTCCCAAACAGTGTTCTCAAATGCCCAACCAACTCCCAAATAGTGGATGAATAGCTGGCTAAAACTGACCCAATTTTAAGTTTGAGATATGGAAGAGTACACTTCTCCAGTCTTCCCACCCCCTTAGGAGCTTTGTATGTCAGGTAGTAAGTCAGCCCAGCTCCACTCTCAAAAGTTTAGGAACCCTTCTGAGGAAGGGATGAAGTATGCCAAAGCCTCAGGCCCTCCCCTCCACTCACCAAGATCAGAATAACTCCTCTTGCAGAACTGCCTGCGGCCCCCAAAGCAGAGATCAAAGGGTTGCTCATCTGCCTGACGCAACTTGTGGCCACTCTCAATGGCTGCAAATGCCTCCTCAGCATAGCGGTAAGTGACGAAGCCATAGTTGTCACTGGTAGAGAGGTGAGCCATTTGGGCACATGTCATGAAGGCACAGCACCCCAAGGTACAAAGATGATTCTTATCCCAATGCCCAACCCTCTGATTGTAGAAATGAAGGTGCCCCACACTGCCCAGCACCCAGAGCAAGAATGGAAGACAAAGAAACATCAAGGTAGGAGAATAGGACACAAAGGACATCTTGACCTTGGGATCCAAGCTTACCCTTGGACTCGAAAGTGGATGGTACACTCCTCAATCTCTCCAAAAACAGAGAACCTCTGTTTCAGCTCTGACCGAGTCATGCGGCCAGGTATCTTCCCAATGAAGACCACCCTTCTCTCTTCCTACGTTGGGTATCAAGGAAAAGCGATACTCTGAGCCAGAGTTGCAGCTACAGGTGACGTTCTGAGCTCATGGCTCAGAGTAAGGCCCTCCTTCCATGACCTGCTCCCCTACTCACTATTGCACGCTCCTTCTGCAGTACTTTCTGCCTTTGGTAATGGTCATGTGAACGGTAAGAGCTGTACCTAGTAAGAGAAGTCTCATCAGCCCCTCCCAGACATAAAACAAGACTCACAGTTCTAGGCACCTGTACCCCAATTTCATTGACTTTTGATACACATGCTTATGCTCACCACCGCCTCCTGTCACTTCTCCGGCGAGGGGATGGGGAACGAGAACGGCTTCGGGAACTGGATGATGAAGATGAGGAAGATGAGGATGAAGAGGAAGAGGAAGAGCATCTTCTGGAACGTCCAGAGGAACTGCAGCTGGACCTAGAGAATTAAAGAGCATGCAGGAATGCTGGGAATAGTGCAGACATGCTCCATTTACCTCACCCAGGCCCAGCCCTGCTGCCTTGTCAGGAAGCTCAGAACCAAAGATAAAGCAGAGCAAAAGAAATCTAGAATCTGAAGTTCATAGAACTTGTAACTTTAGATAGATCTCAAATGTTTTAGCAGACTTCATTTTTATTTTCAATGATGCCACTGAAAATTAAAACACAGCCACGTGTGGTGGCATTCGCTTATAATCCCAAGGCTGAGGCACGAAGATTAAGAGTTTCAGGCCAGCCTGAGACTTTCTTTCAAAAAAGAAAGAACAGCCGGAGGCCAGTGGCTCACAGCTATAATCTTTGTTATTCAGGAGGCAGAGATCAGGAGAATTGGTTTGAAGCCAGCCCAGGCAAATAGTCTGCGAGATCCTATCTCGAAAAAAACCCATCACAAAAGGGCTGGTGGAGTGGCTCAAGGTATAGGCCCCAAGTTCAAGCCCCAACACCGCAAATAAAAAAAAAAAAAGAAAAAGAAAAAGGGAAGAAAATTGAAAAACACATTTAACAAATCAGAAAGAGAAATAAAAATAAATGGCAACTCAGGAAGATAAAGGGTTGGACCCTAGTTCTCACAACCAACTCTATCTGTGGTGCCGCAGTTAGGTACCAGGGTCTCTGGTTACAACTGCTTTCCTACTATGTCTCAAAAGGGCATAAAGGAAGGTAATTGTGTTAGACCTAGAGTCGGAGCCATTTCTGGAGATATGTATCACTGCTGAAACCCAAAAATTCTGTTAAATTTCTCTGTTTCCGAGAAAAAAAATCTATCAGGAAATAGATAAGGCTATAGTAACATCCTACAGAATTGCCTCAGACACTTTCCTTAAAAGATTATTAAGGGAAAAACTGCTTCCCATTAACAATTAGCCTACTATGCCACATACCACCAAGAAAATATCACATGTAGACAGCATGTGAAGAAATCAACACAATCAAAATCAAACTCTCACAATCTCCCCAAGGCTCATCTCAAGAAACCAGATCTCAGCAATATCCTGAACTCCTTCAACAATCCATAAGAGGACAGAAGATGAAAGTCAAAGACAGAAATAAAAGACTTATTAACAAACTACCCAAGTCAATGTATGTGAAAGCTTTTTTTTGTGTGTGTGTATGCTAAAGCTTTTAAAGTAAGGTGCAGAAGAGAGTACATGAACTTCCTAAATGGAGAGGATCTAACAGGCCAACAAAGCTCACCTTCGCCACCTCTTGTGGGGAGGGGAGAGGGACCTGGACCTGGACCGGGATCGGGATGAGGAAGACGTCGATGAGGATGAAGAGGAAGATGCTTCACTGGTCCGGTTGGACCCAGAGCTGACAGAACGGCTGCTGCGGCCACGACGGCCCTGCCAGCCCCGGCTTGGGGGGCTGGCTGACCTGCAGGCTTTTCGGTAACAGCGCATTGACCTCTGCTTGGCTGAGGGCTCAGGGGGAGTCCTAGTGTTCATGTCATTCCGGCAGGGTGAGGCCTCAGGAGACAACAAGGCAGATGGGGCAAGGCAAGGTGCTGAAGGATCTGCCTGCTCATTACTAGTCCTGTGATCAAGTGGCTCCTGGGAGGCAGTTGTGCATGAGAGTAGGGGAGTCGCTGAGCCCAGGGACAAAACAGGTTTGATAGTGATATCCTGATGGCGTTTGACATTCCATCGGGAGCCCAGCTCTGGTATGACTAGGGCAGGCATTTTTTGGGGGGGTGTCCTACTCCGGACACAATAGTCATGGTCCCCAGAGCCCACATGGACAGGACTAGGGCCATGGACCCCTTCTTGGAGGCAGGCTGCAGCTGGATGTTTGGCCTCTGTAACTCCTTCAGGCTTCAGGGTTCCCTCCTGGGCGATGGACTTAGGAGATTTGGCTTTGGCCAGCAGTGAAACAGCAGCCAGGGGCTTCCATAACTGGTGGGGAGGGGTTGCTGGAGGGGTGAGCCCTGTGTGGGGAGGGAGGATGGAGATAGCAGGGTGAGAGCCAATTATACACTTCTAAATACTGTGTATCTAGGCTCAAGAGATCCCACTTCTTACAAAGTATACCAGGCTTAGTCAACAGCCCAACTTCTTCCATTTCAATTGTTCCTTCCCCCACGGTCCCCATCTTGAGGACCAGCTAGCTACAGTCCTCCTGAAACCGCCATCCTCTCAATTATTCAAACCCAGTGATCAGGTCCTATCTGATCTACCTCTCTCCATTCTAAGACCCGCCCCTCCATCCAATCTGACTACAGGTTGTGTCTTAACCTAGACTCGTGCAATAAAATTGTCTCTCTACTTACAGCTTCACACCTGTCCACCTATCTTCTATATTTCTGCTGAACCAACCATCCAAAAACCAATCTGATAAAGCTTTTCCAATTGCTTCTTCAATATACAGGAGAAAGTTCAAACAGCTTAAAATGGCATTCAAAGTTCCCATAATTAGATCTTTTGTTTACCACTTAGGCTTCATCTCATTTCACTCTGTCCACCACCCTAATAAACTACTACATTCCAGTCAAACCAACCTACTCACAATGCCCCTAAACACAGCAGGCTGGCTGTTTCTTCAGTTCACTCAAGCTATTCCTTTTGCTTAGAATTTCGTGTCCCCTAAATCTACCATGACTGATCAGTTATTTTTCTCAAGCCTCAGCTCAGGGGATAACCTATATAGCCCTTCCCTGGCTCCCCCCTTCAGATCTCACTAAAAATCACAGGTGCTTCTTTACACATCACCTCTTGATACTCAATATGCTTATTTGTTTACACATCTGCCCCCTAGACTGTGAGAACCTTAAGAATGGAGATCAGATCTCTGTATCCTCAATGCCTACACATACTTGATGCACAGCAGACATGGTACACCTACTGTACAAACTAATAACCAGAGTTTCCCAACCTGAACCCACCTGCCACGTTGGCCAGTTCTGGGGCTTGTAACCGGTCTAGGGGCCTCTTCTCCTGGGGAGTGTCAATGCTGCTGGTGGGGGGGAAAAGGGAAAGCCTGGTTCATTGCCTCAGTATCTTATACATCTGCTTTCTTCACAAAGCAATGGAAAAGGGGTGCGTGCAGAGAAGAATGGGAGGCCCAAACTGCCCTTATCATGGTCCTCTAACACAAAAGGGCCTTAGTGACTGAACTGTAGATTGGGTCTCAACTTAGCTCAATTCCATGAGGCAGGCTGGCTATGACCTTTAATACCACCCACCTCGTTCAAATCAGGAGCCTTGCCTACCCAGCTCAAAACAACCTGAAACCAATATAGAGAGGAATACACTTGGGAAAAATAGGATGGTATACCATGAACATGAAAAATGAAAAAGGCCTCTCACTGCTTGAAGGCTAGGGAGCAAAGGAGGCCCATGGGTGCTTGTGTCCTCCAAAGAGTCAGGGAAGTCCTAGCCATTAATATCTTCCCCCACTTTAAGTTGGTTATCACCAGTGTTGAGCAAGCTTAAAGTCTGCTAAAAGAAGGAAAGAAATCCCAAAAGCATGACTTGACAAGAGAAGATAAAAGGCACCTCCAGGGCATTTGGAATCTGACTGGAATCAGCTGGAGGGCAGTACACACCCTCCCACCCTCATCACCCAGGCCACTGCCTGGTAGTGATGGGCAGAGCAGGAAATGGGATAAAACTCTAGAGTCAACTGAACATCTCTGTAAGAGAGGCATCCAGTCGATGGTCCTGGAGCGCCGGCTGGCTGCTGACCAACAGCTGTAGGGTAACTCGCTCACGTCTCCATACTTACCCTGAGTTTCCTACAGCCAAGCTATCAGCAGGAGCCGGGAGAGGACACTCCTTTTTAGCTGCAAAGAAACCATACTAGTTAAAAGCCCAACCTGATGTTCCAGACTGAGGTAGTACAGACGGGCTTGTTTTGAGACATGAAGAAAGTTCACTTTGCCTACACATTCCCTGTTGGGCTTTCCCAGACATTCCCAGACTGATCCTGTGGGTGACCAGGTACTATGTTTAATTATGACTCTGCTCAGAAATACCTTGGTCCCCAATGAATATGAGGTAAGAGTCCAGATTCATAAGCCTAGTATTCAAGGTTCTACAAGACCTGTTTAATTAACTTCCTAGCCTCAGAGCCTACTATTCATTTGTTGAGGTACTGGGCTTTACACATACTAAGCATATATCACTGAACTACATCCTTAGTCCACAGCCTACTACTGTGTCATGTTTTTTATTCTGCCTTGTACTACAGATACCTGGTATTAACTCAGAAGCCATTTCTGCAGATTGTTTTCCACCGTTAGGGCATAAGCTCCTAATAACAAGGCACAGTAGCCTCCACAACACCCAGAGCCATACCTTGTTTTGAGAAAGCCAAGCTACTCATTTGTTTTCCAAATGCACTATATGGAAATTCTTCCTATGCCTCATATCTTTATTCAAGGCTCACCAAGAAAGTTACCTTCCGCTAGAAAAATGTCCCCAAGCATTCCCAACTTAACTGGAACTCCTCACCTATTCTTTTACAGTACTTGTTATGCTGTACTTTCACTGTCCCAAGCTTAGATTATTACCTCAGATGAATCTTGTCTCCTCATGACAATTAGGGGGCTGCTCTACAGGCTGCCACTGTCTGTCCCCTTTACTCCACGTAAAGCAACTAAAAGGCTGAGCCAAAAGGGAAGTATCAACAAAAAAGGGTTGGAGAGCTGAGGGCATAGCAAGTCGTATAGCTGTGGATTTACCCTAGTACCACAGAAACAAACAAACAAACAAAAAACCCTAAAACTCCCTGTAATCCCAGCTACTCAGGAAGTAGAGGTAGGAGGATCTATAGTTCATAGCCAGCCTGGGCAAAGTTACCAAGATCCTATCTCAAAAACAAGATACAAAAGTGTGAGGGGCATGGCTCAAGTGGTGGAGCCAAGCTCATCTAGCATGCACAAGGCCCTGGGTTCAATTACCAGCATTGTGCAAAAAAAAAAAAAAGGAACAGAACTACCCAGGTTCCCTCACCTTCTGATTTCTCAAACTGTTCCAGCAGACTGGACAGATCTGATGCTTCAATTCCTGTGGAGGTACACAACATAGGATTAAAAAACAGTTCCTATCAACTGAGTACACAGATCCCAGGAAAGCCCCCAAATCACCTCACTTCTCCCTTTACATGCCTCCCTACCCACTATACAAGGCAGCAACACAAAGCAAGGTTTCAAACAGTACTGGTGGTGTCACTCAAGTGGTAGAGCTCCTGCCTAGCAAGTGCAAAGCCCTGAGTTTCAACCCCTAGGACCACAAAAACCAAAAAACCCATTCAAACAAAGCCAGGGCTCTGCCTGGCGAACACACTCCAAAGAAATCCAAAGGGCAGCCTCATGGAGGGTGTTCATTCTGTTCTACAAACACTCCCAACCAACTCTGGTATCCTCACACCAACTACACTAATGTGCTACTCACCAATCTCACTGATGAAAGCCTGTACCACATCCTCAGGACCCTGAGTACGTGGGGTGGGCAAGAAGGACAGCTTCCTTAGACGGGCTGGGTGGACAGCAGGCAGTTTGGGAACAGTGCTCTGCCTTAGCATGGGAGCAGCCTTGATAGCAGGAGAGAGGGGCTTCTCCCTGGGCCTGGACTCCTGGGTCTCAGGCTTTAGCCTTTCTGATTCAGGCTCCTCAACAGCCACACCCTCAACAGACAGACATGATGGAGCCTTGATCTGGGGGCTCTGCACCAGGGAGGACACCTGTTGTTTCAGATGGGGAGATGCAAGCACTGGCTTGACCTCCACCTTGGCGGGCTCTATCTGTGGAGCTATAGGGCTGACTGGCCCAAGACTGAGGGAAGGAGTCACTGGCACAGGAAGTACATTTTCAGGAGGGACAGCTGGAATGCCACTGGGCTCCACTTTGGGTGGAACAGCTCTCCCAACAGAGGCTGGAGGCAAAGGAGGTGGGGGAACAGCAGACCAGAATGGAGGTTGCTGTAGTCCTGGACCCCATCCCATGGGCCTATAGGTACAGTTGGAGCTGTAAGGTGAGACTGGTGCAGGAGGGGGTACCCAAGGCACACTGCAAGTGGGGGGCACAGCATAGGTGCCAGGAGTACCAGATACTAGGGGCACCGTTGGTGGGGGGGTTAGGCAAGGATAGCCAGAAAGGGATACAGGGGGATAACAAGGCCAGGGTGGCACAGGGGCATAGTGAGTATAGGGATCAGGTGGCACTGGTCTCATAGACACTGGAAGACCAGGAGACTGCAAGGGAGGTGGGGGAAGACTGGGAACTCCTTGCCCATTTGCAGGAAGGGGCAGCATGGGAGGTATACCCAGTCCACCTGGGAGGAAAGGCAAAGGAGTGGGCACTGTGGGAGGCATGGGCCCAACAGGAGATATGGGCTGAACAGTAGGAGGGACAGGTCTTGCTGACAGTGGCATCTCTTGGGATGGCACCTGTTCAGTGGGAGTTGAGACCATGGGTTTGCTTGCAGTTGGTTCAGGACTAGGAGAAGCAGGGCTGGGACCCACAGGCACAAAACAAGCCTCTTGGGGAGCTTCAGGACTTTTCTGCGGAGCTGTCCTCTTGGCTGGGGCTGGTGGGAGGACAAGACAAGGGATGTCTGCCAGCCCTGTGGGAGTCTCTGGGAGGCTGGGCCATTTCCCAGCTGGGGGCTGGGAACTCCTCTCTTCTGCCTCTGCTTGCCGTTGCTGCCTTCGACGACGGTACTCAGATAAGCTAAGAGGCCGAGGTCTAGCTTCCTGAGTTGTGGCACTGGAACCACTTTCCACCTTCAGAGGACCTACAACCTCTTTGACTTCAGGGTTGGTCCTCTTTGGAGGATCCAAAGACTCTGAGTCAAGGAGATGAGAAACTGAATTCCCCTGAACTGATGATGCAGCACGTCTGGGGTCAGTTGGTCTGGACTTAACTAGCATAGGGTCAACTGGAGGCAGGTCACTGGGAATAGGGTCAATTGGCACTGGGTCAGTCAGGACAGCATCAATTGCTGACAAGTTATCTGGGATGGGAACAACCACTGCAGGGTCAATTACTGTCGAGTCAGATAGAACTGGGGTAGTCAACACTGTGTCAGCTGGGAGAGGGTCAACCAGCTCCGTACTGGCTGAAGTTGAGTCAACCGGTGCAGGATCAGCTACAGCAGGGGCACCTGCAGTAGGATCAACTCCAACAGAGTCAACTGGCATGGGGTCACTCTGAGCAGAATCAACCAATGAGACATGGGTTTGAACAGGGTTGGCTTGGATAGTATCAACCAGTTTGGGGTAGAGGTCTGGAGGATCTTCTTTAGAAGGACTACTTTGTCCAGCACTTCTATCCAAGTTCTCAGAGCCAGGTTTCTCCAAAGCAGCTGCCCAGGCCCGTGCCCAAGCCTGTGGCTTTCCCCTACCCTGGGGAGGCCCAGCTTCTCTTTGAAGTTCCTCCTGAGACTGTTTCTGCAAACTGCCTGCCTGAGAGGTCACTTCTGTAGCCATCGTAGACTGCCCACGAGAGGATGACCTCAGCCTTCTGGCATAGCCTTCCACACAGGATGTTGGTTGCTCCTTGCTCTTCTTCCTCCTGCCTTTTCTGGAAACTCTCTGGGAACCCAGTACTGCATTAGCAGGTGGGTTCTGAGGCCCTTTGGGTTCCACTGGCTCTATGACCTTCCTGGGTTCCAATAAGCAGACTGAGTCCAGAGACAACCCCTCTTCCTCAGGGCAGGGGACTACCTTGGGCACAGAAGCCTCTGCTTCTGACTCCAGTGTGGGCATGAGAAACTGCAAGGCAGAACTGACCTCTAGTGAGTCATCCAGGAGCACAGACTGGGGTCCATTAGGGATCTGCCGAACCACAACTGGGATCTCCAGGTCATCACCAGCTGTAGCTGCCTGGCCCACAATTTCCAGCACCACACAACCCTCAGACAGTGTCAAATCATCTGGCTGCTCCTGAAGCTCATTCTCAAGTGATGCCAGGTGGGTGAGGTTGGGCAGGCAGTATGGATGCATGGCCCGTACCAACTCACTCAGGGAAGAGATGCTCTCATCGCCAGGTATGGACACTGCTACCTTTCCTACTGTCGACTTGTCTTCCTCCTCGGGGCAGGCCAGGTGCATGGGGAAGTCTGGGATACTGCTCACAGAGTTGTCAAGCTCCGCGGCAAGCACCTGACCATTGAAGCTGGCCATGTCCTCCTCCTCTTCTCCATCACTACGCTGTTGGGGAGGAGGAGATTGGCCCCAGCGTGGTCTTGATCTTGGGGGTCTCCAACTAGGCAGCTTGGGGGAAGAGGTATCTAAGAAGGAAGGTGGGGAGAAGTCCCAAGGGGGATCTGAAAGAGACATCTCAACCTGCAGGAGAGAAGAAAAGACTCAGGAGGAGTTTTCTTCAGGAAAGCACTTTCCAGACCTGTCCTCACATACTCCCCCCACCTGTGAGTTCCTGAGGGTCCCCAGGTCAGGCCTACCCCATTCACTCTAGTACTGCCTGTGCTGGGTCCCAGTGGGTCAATTGGGGTGATGAGGTCACGTTCTGGGGGTGTCCGAGAGAGTGTGAGCAGCTTGTGCAACTAAGAGGGATAAAAAGACCTGAAATCAGTTTGTGCTTCAGAGCTATATGAACAGGCCTAAAGATATGGTTATAACTTTTGTACTCCCTCCCTGGTTCCACACTCACAGAGCCTTCTCGAGGTGACACAAGTAGCTCCGAGTCAGGAATGCTGTCAAATGGAGATAGGTTCTCAGAATCTGCATTGTCCAAAATCTCCGTCAGAGCTGTGAGCAGCGACATTTCATTCTGGTCCTCCAGAGATAACCTGCTCTGCTCCAGAAAGACAACAGGGAGGTCCCAACGACATCCAAATAACCTATGGGGCCACTAAGAAAGACTGGATGCCAAGAGAATCAGTCTCCCAAGCTCGGTTCAGCTCAGCTCAGCTCAATTTGCTAGCAAGAGGAATTTGAGTACCAGCAGGTATGGGTTTCAATCCATTTACCATTCACCAACTCTTCAGGACCAACAGAAACCTGCTAGACTTGAGCCATTTTTTTGTTTTGGTGGGACTGGAGTTTGATCTCAGGGCTTGCAAAGCAGCAGCGCTAACAGTGGAGCCACATCTCCAGTCCATTTTGTTCTGGTTATTTTGGAGATGAAGTCTTGCAAACTATTTGCCTGGGCTAGCTTTGAACCATGATTCTCACCATCTCAGCCTCCCAAGTAGCTAGGATTATAGGCATGAGCCACCAGCACCCACTAGACTTGAGTCTTAAACTTGGATTTTGCACACTCCCCCACCTTCAGGTAAGATGCAGGATGTTCAGCAAACAACTCTTGACTAGGTTGGAACTGGGCTCAAAAATAGATAAGCACCCTCTGGACATGCAAGTCAAGGGCTCATATAGGGAGGAAAGGCCTTGCACTACAGTCTAAGCTAGCCTGGGCATTCTTACATGGACCATAATCTGATAGCCTGAAGCCTATCTCCCACCTAAAAACAAAAACACATGCTTTAAGAACTCAGGTTAGAGCAAGGTGCCAGTGACTCATGCCTGTAATCCTAGCTACTCAGGAGATCACAGTTTGGTTAGCCCTGGCAAATAGTTTGAGAGACTCTAGCTCAAAAAAACCCATCACAAAAAAGAGCTGGTGGAATGACTTGAGTGGTAAGAGTGCCTGCCTAGCAAGCCTGAGGCCCTGAGTTCAAACCCCAGTACTGCCAAAAGAAAAAAAAAAAAAAAGGAACTCAACTTAGGTACCTAGTAGCCAAAGACCAGGGAGAGCAGAGTCATGCCTAAAATGACTTCAAAGATTTGAGGTACAGCTTCCTATGCAAAGCTTCTGTCTAAAGACCTCCATGCCTGACACTGATGGCTCACATCTGTAGTCCTAGCTACTCAGGAGGCAAAGATCAGGAGGATCTCAGTTTGAAACCCAGAGAAAGTCTGAGAGACCCTATCTTGCAAAAACCCATCACAAAAAAGAGCTAGTGGAATGACTTAAGGTGTAGGCCTTGAGTTCAAACCCTAGTACCATAAAATAAATAAATAAGTAAATAAATAAATAAATAAAATCTCCAAATCTAGCCCCAGCTCACCTCTCCAAGGCTCCCAAAATCCTCAATGAGGGAGATGAGGGAGGCATCCATGTAGCTCTGCATGGTCCCCAGCAGTGTCTCATCCTGCAGTATCAGCTCCTCCATTTCCAGGTCTTTCTCCCTCAGAGATGGGCCCAGCCGAGACAGATTGACAAAGCCAGAATCATCCCCCTCTTCATGCAGCAGCACCTGGGACAAAATGGGGCAGAATTAAATGGGCATGGGCCCACTGGGGGCAGCTAACTGATATGCTTGATAAACCAGGTATCCAGTCCCCTCACCAGTGGACCCAAACTCAGGAATTGCCCCACCAGTGCCAAATCTCTGGGCTAGTTAGGTAGAAAGAAGTATAATCCATAGACCAAAGTCCTATCCAGAATGGCAGTGTATTGGGAGGAAGAGTTTGGATGCCACTCACAAACAGCTGGAGCCAAAAGAGATTATTAAATTCAGAAGTAAAAACATCAAAAAGATCAAGATTAGCCCAGGCATAGAGATACATGCTGTAATTCCAGCACCTAGGAGGCTAATAAAGAGAACTGTGAGTTCAAGGCCAGCCTGGATTACATAGCAAGACCTTGTCTCAAAGAAAAATCAAGATTGTTCAGAAGCTTTCTGCTTGCAGTGTGGAGGACACTAGATTTAAGGGTTTATCAAAGGAAGAAGTCAGCCATGAGACAATTCAGCTACAACAACCTACCTCAAATCCCACTTAGGCCTCTGCTGTCTACTGAGGTCAAATCTACCTTCTTCAAGAAGACACTTCAGGGATCAAGTGGTAGAGTGCCAGACTAGCAAGCAGGAGGCTCTGAGTTCAAATGCCAAGAAAGAAAAAAAAACCCAAAACAAACAAAAAAGAAACCTCAGGCTTCCCCATCACACACTACTATCTTCTCATACCAACCCACATTTTTCTGTATTGTTTGCTCTTCTGACAATCACTTCTGATCCCACTAACCCTATGACATTCCTTCATCTCTTTTAAAACTGGATTTCAAGTTTCTTTGGGGTAAATAACCCTTTGGATTCTATTAGTTTATATTCTTCTGGGCTTCCAGAAAAATTTAAATGTTTTTATACTCCCCATGTCTAGCAATGTCTTATAAATAACTAATATTCACATTCACATTTCTCTTTTTAGCGCCCCAACCCCATTAGGGATTGTGCACTATAAGCACACACTCTATCAATGAATCACACCCCCAACCATGTGCAATCCAACCTCTCTGTAGTAGTTCCAAGGGAAGGGTTCCATCCCCATTCCTACCAGTTAAAAGCCAAAGAAAAGGGGCTGGAAGCATGGCTCAAGAGGTACAGCACCTGCCTAGCAAGCATGAAGCCCTGAGTTCAAACCTCAGTACTGTGCCCCCTCCAAAAAAAGCCAAAGAAAAGAAAGCTTGATTCTTTTATACATGGAGAGGCCCCACCCCACACACCTTCCTCTGACAGTAATAGCTTCAACCCTGTCACAACAGGGCCCGCCCAGACCTGTCAAGAGTGTGGGCATGTGCATGGCCAAAAATGGGACTGGTGAGACCAGGGCTCTAACTTCTACTATTGGGAAAATGGTGCAAAAGCCTAAGAACAGAATCAAACATTGAAAAACCAGACTTCCCGTCTGCAGCAAAAGGAAACTCAACACTTCACCTTCTCCAAAAGAAAAAAACAAAGAGTGTGACTATTCCCTCTTCCCCTCTTGAAAAAGTTGAGTTTCAGGCCCCAGGAAGAGGTAAGGCTGGTTAGAGACACTTTAGGAGATAGGCTCAGAGATCAAGTGAAAGGCAGCAAGTTTTAGGCACTAACCCCTCCCAGGTCTTCAACAATCCTGTAATTACAACCAGAAGCTGAATAGCACCTGGCTCAGCAAGCAGACATAGGTGAGCAAGGAGCTTGCATCTCTACTTGCCCTGCCTCCTCCCTACCAGAGCCCCAGCCACTAGGCCAAAATCTCAAGACAATACCCAGCTCTACAAACCATTCATCTTCATCTCCATCAGAGAGGAACTAGAACCCCAGGCAAAGACAACTTCCCTTTTAAGATTTCACCCATTCCTTCATCCCCAAACAGCACAGTTCCCAGAGGACCAAGATCATCCAAGAATTAAGCCTAGGCTAAAAGAAAGCCAACTTCTGGCCCCGGTAACTTCAAAAACTCCCCATCTTATTCCTCCAGAGTTCAAAACCTACCATGGGCTGGAGGTGTGGCTTGAACGGTAGAGCACTTGCCTAGCAAGCCCAAGGCCCTGAGTTCATAAATAAATGGTCATAAATAAATAAATCAGCCAGAAACTTCTTTAAATGTCTCAGTTCCTGAGATCCTGGTAAACATCTTTAGTAGCAATTTACTACCCTTAACACTAGGTTTAAACTCCTTAATATGGCCTACAGGGGTTCTGGTTTTCTCCACTAAGACTCTTCTATCTACCTTGTCCTCTTCCACTTGTTTGCTATGGTCTCTCGGTTCCTCCAATAAGCTATGTTTTCACCCTTCACACTATTTCCTCTGATGGAAGTTTTTCACATTCATTCAGTCTTGGGGTCTCATCTTAAAATGTTCCTCCCAGATCCTGCAAAGTACTTTACTACTACTGATTTTATAATCCCAAATATCCAAAATTTCCTTTTGTCCCACTCATCATCAAGTATTATCTGTCTACCCTGATTAAAACATAAGATCCTGAGCCAGGCACTGGTGGTTCCTGCCTATAATCTTAGTTACTGGGAAGCCAAGATTAGGAGGATCTCAATTTGAGGCCAGCCCAGGGAAATAGTTTGAGAGACCCCATTGCAAAATAACAAAAGCAAAATGGACTGAAGATGTGGTTCAAGCGGTAGAGCACTGGCTTTGCAAGCACAAAACAGAGTTCAAATGCCAGTCCCACAGAACAAAAAACAAAAACTTAAGATTCTGAGGACAAGGATCATTCATGCTTGTGTGATTTACCAGTGTATTCTCTGCACCTAAACATAATGCCATTTCAATAACTAGTTGGTTGGTTGACTACCTTACACATTTGTTAGAGACAAAGACCTTGTCCAACCCCAAATGACCACCTAACTTATGTTACACCCGGATCTTTGATCCTTCCTGCCTGACCCAGAGAGTAAGCAGCACCAGCCACAAAAGCTGGAGACATTGCTCAGGTGGTAGGGTGCCTGCTTGACAAGTGCAAAGCACTAAATTCAAACCCCAGTACCCCCCTCTCCAAAAAAATATGAGACCTTTAAAAAAATAAGTGTGAGAAAGGGTACATTGATCCCATATTCATACCCTAGAAGCCATTCTTCCCTGGACAAAGGCCTAGAATGGTCTGCTGGACCACCAGGCAGCCTACAGCCCAACCCCCCACCTAGAAAAAAAAAATGCTGTCAAGGACTCAACTTGAGTGAAGTCTTCACAATTAAAACACTTATTTTCCTCCTCATTAGAAAAACTTCTGGGAGGTAGTGGTTTATCTTTAGTATGAAAATTGCCCTGAAATTTAGCACCCAATTATGAGATAGTAGAATAAAGATAAAAATATACATTAATTTAGGGCCAAAAAGGTATATTTTATATTTCTGAAATTATATGGAACTCAACGTTAATACTTAACATTGAGAAAAAAAGAAAATCTATTCTTGATTAGGCCAACATAAAAGGTAAACTAAGTAATATCATCTTACAATGTTATTACAGGACCACTTCAGATCTTACTAGATTATTTTTATCTTATCAACCATATTTTATTAACTTAGGATCCAACTTAAAAGAACTCTCACAATTTAAAAATCCTCTCTAGGAACAGGGGCATGACTCAAATGGTAGAGTGCCTGTCTAGCAAGCTCAAGGTGCTGAGTTCAACCCCCAGTACAGGGAAAAAAAAAAATTCTCTCTAGAATCCTCATTTATGTATGTTTTCTTTCTCAGTTTTGGTATTAGTGTTTTCTTACAGCATTGTTATAAATTATAATAAATTATTTCTTACTTATTAAAGACCATAGTGGCTCAAGTGGTAGTGTTCTGCCTAGCAAGCAGAGGCCTGAGTTCAACCCCCCAGTATAGACAAAAAAAAAAAAAAAAAAAAAAAAAAAGGACTCAATTGCTTAAAAGAGGTAACAGTTTAAACTAATTCCTGCCCACTGCCAACCTGGGTGGGAATTTTTTGAAGCCATCCACTGAAGAGCGGAACAGTAACACTTTAGAAGTATACAGAACTGAAGGTGGAGAAAAAATGTGACTAAAAGTATACGGCTCTCATCCAATAAATATTGAACTGAAGTTCAATAATCCTCAAACCACCTCCAAGCTTTCCCATCCTCAGCAAAAATTCCAGAGAGCCTTAAATACAGACCAGATTCTGTGTCAGTGCACAGGAGCAGGTCATAGCTGCCTCCTCCAAAGAGATGCAAGAGGAAAAATTGAAGGAGAGAGGATTCCCTCTCCTTTACTAAAACTTGTCCCAGGTATACTTTGACACTCCCCATGTCCCTGAATTACACATGAGGCAAAACGGCAGGCAACCAAAACGCCAATGCCAGTGACTCACAACTCATCCCAAGCCGGTCAGACAGAAGCCTCCACAAGCTCACTCCTCCACAGCCCTTCAGCCACAATCTTCTACCCTCCCATCACACCCTGCCATCTACAGAGAGACTTCTCAAACATCTGTTAAGTCCACCATCCACTGTCGAAAAGCACTGCAAACCCAAGCAAGACGGAAAAACTTCAAGGCTCTGGGCAAAGTCGACTCTAGCAGCCCCTACCTTCCTTCCTGGCCTGGGGCCCCCAGCCCAGGCCAGAGATGGCGGGACCGGCTGAGACACACCCAGTTCCCGGCAGTGTGGCTCCAGCACGGATACTAGATGCCCGCCAGCCTGGGCCACGGGAGCCACGTGGACATCCCGCCCCCGCCCCCACGTGGACCCGCGCCCCCCCTCCACCCTGAACCCAACCCACGTGGGTGCCCGAGCTGCCTAAAGGGGGAAGGGAGGCAGACAAGTTCTCCCGGGAAAATTGCTCCCCTCACCCCACGTGCTCCGAAAAAGGAACTGCGGCGCCGGGTTGTTGCAGTCCTCCTCGGCATCCTTAGAAAGAGGTCTTGGCCTTCGACTCCAATTCTGAATCCCTGACCCCCAACCCCCACTGAGGGCCATGTTTCCGACACCCGGCTCTGTCCCTCCAGCTTTCCCAGAAGAGCTGTAGAGCTCTCGCCCCTGCCGGCGTATCCCCAACAACAGGCTTAGGTCCACTCAACCCGACTCGACTCCCGCGGCCACCAGATATCGATTCCCAAGTGCTTCCTCCCTTTCCTGTGGCGTCCACGTGTCACCGCCCGGCACACGCCGCTCTGCTACCAGCCGTGAGCCACCCGCCAGCCTCTCACCTCCCCGCCGCTCACGGCGCCCACGGTTCCATAAGACGCTTGGCTCCAACTCCCCCAACCGCTCCCGCGGACTCCACCGCCCGAGTCAGGGCCGGGGCCTCCAGTCGGGGGCGGCACGACTCCGTCTCTCCGTCCCCGGCGCGCCGCCATCTTGGCCCCTGAACACCCAGCGCTGCTCTGATCACCGGCGCCGCCTCGCCCAGCCGATTGTGGGAAGGGAACTACAATTCCCAAAGGACACTGCAAGACTACAAATCCCAGAAAGACGTGCGGTGAGGCCCACTTGCACTCCGGAAGAGAACCCTGATCTCGCGCGAAGGTTTCTGGGAATAGCAGTCTCTCCACGAAGGCTGGGTGACACGCGCTCTAGGCGTATTGTAATGCTTAGTTTGTGTTACGCGGGTAAACCAAATTGGAAAGCGCACAGTAACAAGGAAGGTAGTTAACATTTGCACATCGTTTTATTTTTGCTAATTTGTCTAACTGTTGGAACGCCCTCTTTGACGTTCCACCTGCGCTACATTCCTTTCACTTAAGTTCGAGTGGGCCTCTGTTTTGAAACAACATCCCCTAGTGGACACGGGTCTAATCCCATAGTGGCACTACTGCAAATTTACTTTTTTTTTTTTTGGGAGGGCTAAACCAGGCTAGTCTCTAATTTGCAACCCTCCTGCTTCAGCCTCCCAAACGCTAGGATTACAGATGTGAACTACTATGCTCGTCTTGCAAATTTACTCATAAAATACTGGGTTCTCCACTCCTCAGCTGTTACACTCAGAAAACCTGTGTTGGGTTCACATTACCAAGTACTGGTCTTTCAAGTACTTTCTTGCAGTCCTTCAAAAACAGTGCTCCCCTAACTTTATTTTTCTGCATTAAATACTTTAACTTGGAAACATCTTTCATACCCTATTTAATCTACAGAAGCCTTTCTGACTATCCCGACCAATCCTGATCACTCCCTGTCAGCCCTTACAGCCCATCACTGTCTCTACTGTTCCTCCATTTACCACTTAGGAGCTACTTCATACTGTTTTCCTTTTTTTTGTTTTTCCTTTTATGGGACTGGGGTTTGAACTCAGGGCTTTGTACTTGCAAAGCAGGCTCTCTACTGCTTGAGCCACACTTTCAGTCCATTTTGCTCTGTTTTTTTTTTTTTTTGGAGATGGGGGATCTCAAGACTATTTGCCTGGGCTGGCCTCTAATCTCTATCCTCCTAATCTCAGCCTCCCAAGTAGCTAGCCACCAGTGCCTGGCTCTTTCCTTTTTACTTTTTTTTTTTTTTCCTGTGGAACTGGGGTTTGACTTTACTGCCTACACCTTGAGCCACTCCACGATCCCTCTTTTTTGCAGTGAGTTTTTTTTGAGATACAATCTTGTGAACCCTATTTGTCCAGGGTGGCTTCGAACCCAATCCCAATCCTCCTGATCTCTGCCTTCTGAGTAGCTAGGATTACAGGCGTGAGCCACAAGCATTTGGCCACTGTACTGTTTTTTAAATTACAAAAGCTTAAACATTATTTCAAATAGTACAAAACTCTGTGTTGGATCCCAGTACCACACACACACACAAAAGAGAAAACTTCACTCAAAACTCTGTGCTGGGGGTATAAATAAGTAGTAGAGTGTTTGCCTAGCATGTGACAGACCCTAGGTTGATTCCCAGTACCTCCAGCAGTGGAAACAAACAAACAAATACTAAAAACCTATATAGAGTTAGAAAATATACTGGAGTAGGAAATCTGAATTGTGCTTCCCAAATTTAATCCTATTAACCCTTTACTATATATTCATCCACACTTTTTTCTTGCATATACGAAGTATAGAAACACAAATTGATCTTTTGTTCTTGAAGATCAATTTGTGTGGTTCTACAGCTTGTTTTTTTTTTTTCCACTAAGGATATGTTAATTCATTTACTAGTCAAACTTTGCCCGAGCTCTTAGTAAGAACTGGTTCCATTATATGATCTACCATGTTTTTTTTTGTTTGGGTGGTGGTGTTGCCATGCTGGGGATGGAAACTAGGGCCTCAGGCATGCTCATCAAGTGCTCTACTGCTGAGGCACATCCCCAGCCCTTCATTACATGAGAATATCATTATTTAGATATTTGTTTTGTTTTCCACTATCACATATTGTTATTTTGAGCATCATCGTATGTGTTGTATACATGTATGTTTGCTTTTTTTGGGTGAGGGGATTTGAGACAGGGTCTCACTATGTAGCCCAGACTGGCCTTGAACCCTTAATTCTCCTGCCTCAGGAATGCTGGGATTATAGTGTGCCCCACACATCTAGTTATCTTTGCATTTTTATGAAATCTTTCTATAGAATAGGTTCCTTGAAATTTGATCAGTGAGTTCAAAGATATATGAACTTGAGCCAGATGTGGTGACACATGCCTGGATTCCCAGCACTCAGGAGGGTAAGGATCTTGAGTTTGAGGTCAACCTGGGCTATGTAGTGACACCCTGTAATCCTAGCTATTCAGGAGGCAGAGATAAGAGGAACACGGTTCTAAGCCAGCCTGGGCAAATAGTTTGAGCAACCCTATCTCAAAAAAAAACCATCACAAAACAGGGCTGGTGGAGTGGCTCAAGGTGTAGACCTTGAGTTCAAGTCCCAGTACCATAAAAAAAAAGATGGATGAACTTGAAATTCAGTACATAATGCCAAAGTGCCCTTTGGAAAGGTTGCATCAACATACATTCTCAAAAAAAATTCATGTGAAGAGAGGTCTTCCTTTAAGTTGAGTTTGTTTTATCTTCCTAAGTAGGCTTTCAAAGCCACAAGATCAGAAATGGAATGTTATTCACAATTTTCTCTACAGTCATATGAGGGGCAATAATAAAGTTTATTTCCAATAAACTTGGAAATAAAACTGCTTATGAAAAGCTAGTAAGAAAAATACAAGATGCACAAGTTTTTCCTCTGTGGAAGAAACATCCTCTAAAAGATGCTATTGTTGGGCAGTAGTAAGCACCTGTATCCCAGCTACTCAGACACTGAAGTGGGAGGATTGCTTTAGCCAAGGAGATTGAGGCCAGCCTTTAACATACCGAGGTCCTGTCTCAAAAAATGAAAAAAAAGTGGTCTGTAAATGTTGTTCGTTTGAGACATTGATTGTGGTGATTAGACTTTGGAAAGAAGACTAGTGTAAAAGCAGAACATTTTGCCAAATTTTGCTTTATTCAGCATCTGAAGAAATAATCTGGCAGCAATCGGGAGGCTTGAGATTCAAGGCCAGCCTGGGCAAATAATTCCCAAGATCCTAGCTCAAAAATACCCAGCACAAAACAGGGCTCGGGGAATGACCAAGTAGTAGAGTATAGGTAGGAAATAAGAGGTCTGCCCAGGGCAAAAATCTTGAGGCCCTATCCAAAAAATAATAGAAGCAAAAAAGGGTTGAAGGCATGGTTCAAGTAATGAATGTTGGCTAGCAAGGGTGAGGCCCGAGTTCAAACCATAGTATTGCCCAAAAAAACAAAACAAAACAAACAAAAAAACAAACCAATGAAATAAAATTAAAAATTAAAGCTGGGTGCTGGTGGCTCACCTGCTCACCTGTAATCCTTGCTACTCAGGAGACTGAGATTAGGAGAATCGTAGTTCGAAGGCAGCCTGGGCAAATAGTTCAAGAGATCCTATCTCTAAAATACCCAACACAAAATAGGGCTGGCTGAGTGGTTCAAGTGGTAGAGTGCCAGCACAAGGGTAAGGACCTGAGTTCAAACCCCAGCACTGCAGTAAATAAATAAATAAAAATAAAATGGTTAATAGTATGAATTTCACTTCACAAAGTATCCCATCCCACAGATTATAGGCTGTCATTAAGTTATAGGTTTCACTCCCTCCATTCCATATCCCAAGTCTATCTGCAAGGCATCAGTGACCTCTCTTTCCATTTCTGCCTGCACCACAATTCCCGGAGCTGCTCCAAAGATCCAAAGATGTTCTTCCCTCTCCATGTCTGATCCATACTAGAAGTAAAGGAACAGAGCACTGGGTCAATTGCTTGTTAGCTGTGATCTTGAGCAAATTAAAAAGTTACCTATGTTTTCTAAGCCTGGTTCCTCTAGGAGCCAAAACCATTTACCTTAGTCACTGGTTCCACACTACTGAGATGATATTTCCTTAAAGAAAAATGGGCCAATAGATCTGCCAGGGTGAGAATGAAAGTGGGTGTGGGAGGGGCAATCCTCCCAGAAGCATTAACTTCTGGGACAAAGAAGAGGGAGAAGAGTAAGGAAGTTCAAATTTATTAACTTCTTGGACTAAGGAGATCTTGCTCAGTGGTAGAGCACTTACTTAGCAGGCAGAAGGCCCTAGGTTGGATTCCCAGCACCACAGAAAAATGAAAACAAGGGCTAGGGGCACAGTTCAAGAGGTAGAGTGCCTGTCTAGCAAACTCAAGGCCCTGATTTCAAACCCCAGTACTGAAAAAGAAAAAAAAAAAAATCTCTCTGAACCATAGCGTTGTGGTGGTGGGAATGGAACCCAGGGTCTTACACGTGCTAAGCAAGCGCTGTACCACTGGGCTACACCCAGCCCTGGACCTGTTTGCTTGCTTGCTCAATGCAAGTAATAAACAGCACCTTCCATGAACGAGAAGCATATGAATGAGACCATAGCTGTGAAATGCTTAGCACAGAGCTAAACACACAGTGCATGATAAATAATGTGGGTTTTTTTCTTCATTCCTTGCCTTCATCCACCTTCTCCCACCTAGAAGGGAACCTCAGATTCAGAGGACCCAAAGACCTCCGTAGGGTAGGTTGTAATCCTCCTTGTCCACCCAAGTAATCACAATCATCAAGGAATCTGGCCAAGCTAGTTGTATGGAATGAGTGGCCTTAGGGATAAGTGGTGACAGGATTGAGATGAGGCAAATTCATGTACAGTAGAGAAAGAAGGGGGTCAAGGCAGGTATTTTCCTTTCTCTACAGCACCTCACATTCAGCTCCCTCCTGGCACTTTTCGAATAACAACCTCAAAAGAAGCAGAAAGGTGCTAACATCTAATGGGTACTGACTACATGGGGACACTGAGCTAGGTGACTGGGTATATACTGCCTGCTCATCAAGCTGCAGGTATCAATTATAGAGGGTGAAGCTGAAGTTCAGAGTGGGGCAGTCAGTTGTCCAGGTCATTCTGTCAGTAAAGGGTAAAACTGAGATTCAAATCTAGGTACCAGAACTTCAGGCCAGTTCTGTTGCTTTAGGTTCCTCCTACTCCCTGTAGTGCTAAGCTCTGTCTGGGAGAAAGTGGGAAGGAGATGTACTGTGGCAGGGGATGCTGCCAACCAAATACTTGTGTGCACGTGTGTGTGTGTGGTGTGTGTGTGTGTGTGTGTGTGTGTGTGTGTGTGTGCACGGGTATAGCTATAGCTTCCTCCCTTGGTACCCCTGGTGGGGGTGGGGGTGGGAAAACTAGAGGTTGAGTAATCCACAATGTGGAGCTCCCCCATCCTAAACACACTGGAGGGGATGTCCCCAATCCTTGAGAGGCCCTCTTTTCATTCTCCAGGCTCTGCATCCTTCCATCATTTCGTGCTCCTCAGCAAAAATACAAGGTGGAGAGAAGGGGGTCCCATAAACACTGTGGCCTGCTCATCTGTAACCCTCCCCCAAGCCAGTCAAGCCAGCTGTGCAGACTCTGAGCCAGAGTAAGGAAACCAAACAGCCTTCTCAACCAATCCCCTCTAAGTAACAAAGGGGAGGACCCCCTCCCTACTTAATTTGGGCCACAACCCCTATGGAGGGGACCTTAGCCTAGCTCCCCAGCGTCCACCCCCCCCCAGCCCACCCAGAAGCTTGAGGAAAAGCTAGCAGCTGGGGACCCCATGAACTCTCTCCTACAGGCTCTTCCCTCCTCTCTCTCCTCCCAGCTAATAGGTATTTCCTGTTTATGAGGCAGCCAGGGCAGGGCTTTTGGGAAGGGATGGAGATGGGCCTTCCCTCCTAGGACTGGGTAGGGGAGTCCTTAAAGACTGCCTGAAGGTTGGGAGGCTTTTCCCTGGAGAAGTGTTTTTCACAGTGACCATTCCCCACCCCCCCACCTTATGGCCTCTGGCCCTGCAGGTAGAGGGCACATGAAGGAATCTGTTTCCTGTTCTCCCACCTCAGAAACCCTCAAACAGCAGCTTTCAAGCAGGGGTTGGGGGCCTGGGTGACAGAGGCGCCAGGGTTGGAAAGGGAAAAAGGGGGAAGAGAAGAGTGTATTCTCCCTCCCTAGTCCAATCTAGTGGTCATTTCGCAGCCCTCTTCCCCCCACCCCCAGCAAAACGCGGATCCAGGCCCTTAGACGGGGGAGGGGACCCCACTTAATTAACCCTTTTAGCTCCAGTCCCAACAGGTTTAGCAGGCAAGGAGTAACTGGTTAATTTTGGAAGGGGGTGAGTTTAGGGGTTACTATGAGAATTAAAATGTTTCTTTTCCCACTCAGCTTCGGGTGGGGCGCGCGCAACAAGGGGTCTAGAATCAGACTGGGGTCTCAGCAGAAACCACGGGCAGAGGTCACCAGTCCCTTTCCCCTCCTGGAGCGCGGCCTAGAATGGAGAGAGAGCTATACCTCAATGCCCATCCTGGCTCCGCCTTTCCCAGTCCCCGCTCCCGCACCGCTACGCTACTAACCCGCGCACCCGGAGGACGGACTCCGAGAGCGACGCATCGCCTCCTAACGCTCCCCCTCGCCCTCCCTTTCTGGGGTCTCAGCTCGGTCTCCTTTTTTAAAAGCTGCGTCACGTGCGTGCAGTTCCCCTGAACGCTCCCGGCCCCACAGCCGCCCGCCCGCCGCGCGGCGCACGCACGTCGTCGCTGGCTGCGCGCTCTCCCGGGTCACTTTGACACGGCTCTCCCCTCCCACTAGCAGGACAATTAGCATATTAATAAAGCCCGGCCCAGCCCGGTTGGGGCAGGAGAGCCGGCGCCCGCGAGGAAGAGAGCGGGGAGCTCGAGCGCGAGCTCCGGCGCGAGGGCCAGGGGGGCGAGCGGCGGCGGCGGGGAGGGCGGCGGGAGCGCACAGACACGCACACGCACACGCGCACACACGGACACACCACTCCGGGGACGCACACCCGCGCGCACACACGCAGAGGCAGCTCGCCTTCCTGCCTGGCTTCCTTCCTGTCTGCTCCGCGCCTGACAGGCCCCTCGTTGCAGCCAGGGGCCGCCCGCACCGGACTGAGGCCGGGGAAAGCCGGCGGCTAGGGCAGCGGGGGCCGCGGGTGGCGGCAGCGGCTCATGCCCGGCCTGTCCCTGCGAGGGGCGGGCACCGTGACTCGGCTGGGCCCCCAGCGGCGGGCGATGTGAAGATGTCAGTGGGCTGTGCCTGTCCTGGTAAGTGGGGCGCGCGGCCGCCTAGCCCCTCCCTCCTTTGCCCTCCCTGTGGGCCCCTCACCCCTTGTTTGGCGAGAACTTATGTGGGGGGCGTCGAAGGTGTGTGTGGGGGGGTCGGGGCTGTAAGGGGTAAGCAGGGCCTCTGTAGGGGGAGGGTTGTCTCAATTGTGTAAATGCGCAGCAGCTCAGAGGCACGGGGAGGGGGCGCTGAGGATAGCTTGTATGGTTTTTTTTGTTTTTTTTTTTTTTAGAGGGGGAGGCTAAATGGGGAAGGATGGGGGGGGCTGAAATTCCCAGAATTCCAGGGTGTTAGCCAATCAGAAGTGACTCTGGACTTTGACCCCCCCCCCTCACCTCAGGTCATCATAGAGTTGTGATTGGCTGATTTGGGCTGCCCCCCCCTTCCTTGCTGCCTATTGCCTCTTACTTATCCTGTGACCCCCCCCACCCCCACCTCAGGCTGTTACTGAGGGCACTGTTTGGGAGGAGGGATTGATTGGGGCCCATCATGCCCCCCTCCAACTTTTCCTCCTGTTGCCAGGGAAGGTTAACCCTCCTGAGGGACAGAAGGTACTCCTAGGGGGTGCCAGATAATTGGACCCTTGGGTCCAGTATCTGTGCCTTAGTGGGAGGGGAAATGTGGCAGGCACAGGCAGGCTAGGAAATAGAGTGATGTTCAGAGTTGAGTTAGGGGAAGCAATGCTTGACCCCCAAAGTGAGAACTTTAGAGAGGACCTGGGCATGGATCACTACCTCCCCAAGACACATGTCAGCTCTCACCAGGGGACAGCCTGTATGTGAATGTTTTTTGGGGGGAAGGTTGGTAAGCTCTGCCTCAACTGTCAGGAGCAAAGAGAAGAACCATGTGACTGGAGAAGTAGTCTACAGAGGGTCTCAGAACACTGTCTTTTCAATTTGAGGACTTTGGGTCCTCGAATTGACAGTTTTGTCCCAGGCTACAGTCAGCTTTCTCTAGGAAGTCAGTGTCCCTGAATTTAGCCTCTTTTGGACCCTTTGCCCTTTCAGATGCTATACTCTTTTGGAGGCCCATACTCCACAACTGGACCCCCCTCTTCCCCATTCAAAACACACATACACAAGATCCCCAAGGAAAACTGCCATTGGAGCTGCTTCCTTGAAAACCAAACTGGTCTGGGCTAGGCACACACTTCAAGTGCCTGCTGAGGCTGACTTTAAGGGGCATGGGGCCCCAGAGGGAGGACTATGAAGGCCTGACAATCCTGGAATATCTGGGTGTGGGAACCCCTGGCTCCTGCAGCAGAGGTTGGGGGAGAGGAGGAGAGGGAAGAGCTTGCCAAGTTGGAATACTGCCTGGCCCCATCATCCCTCCTACCAGTTTGATGTGCATGTTTGCCTGTGTGTTTTCTCCTTTGTAATTCACCCGTGCTGGGTACCCCAGTTCAGATCCATCCATGCTCAGAGCCCGCTCCAAGGTCCTGTCTGTTCATCACCACACTTAAGGAGAGGAGAAACAAAGGCTCTAAACAAGCTAGAAGGCTTGGTTCTTAGTTCCTTCAAATAGTGGGTAGGGATGTTTATGGAGTGGATGTCAGAGTGGAGGTGGATGAGAAGTTGGCCCTGGAGTTGGTCCAATAGGAGGAGGAGAAAGTTCCCCCTCAGTCTCTGAACATGGGGCTGTATGTATGTGGGTGGGGACAACTTAAGTCAGTGTCCCCAAAAGTCATGTTTCTTTCGTGTGTGGTGGTCTGACTGAAGGAGATGGGGCAAAAGATGGATAAGAGTAGAGAGTCTTTTTCCTGACTACTAAGAAGTCTGAGGGGCTGATGTCACTGAGGATGGATAGAGGTTAGACTTCAAGGAGAACCACATGAGGAGGGGCTTGAGAGTGGCCTGAAGGTGGGGAATGGTAGCATTTGGGGTGAGAGAAGACTAGGCTTGCTTGGGTGGGTAAGATCACATGCTTAAACACAAGGGCATCATGTCAGCATGTAGCAGTCCAGGCCCAAAGACTGCCCCCTCCACCTTAAGCAGCCCTGGGGTGAGGGCCCAGGCACCCTGGCAAGCCGCCTGCAGCCTGCCTGCCTGCCTGCCTGCCTGAGTCTCTCCTTTGTGCTCTGCTGTCTCCCAGCTCCTCCTCCCCCAGCCCGGCAGAGGCAGCACATGCCCCACACATGTGACTGAGGGAAGCCAGAGCACACGCAGACCCATACACATACACACACAGACAGACCATGAGATGCATATGTACATACCAGCTCTCTTAGTGCTCCTAAGGTGGACCCATTAACAGCTCCTGGGGTGAAATGACCAGAAGCAGGAACAAGCAAGCCAAGGGGCATCTCCTTGGGCAGGATGCTGAGGGGCTAGGGCCTGTCTGGGGCAGCATGTGGATCAGAAGGGTTAAGGCAGGGAGGAGTAGGGGGAGGGGAGGAGGCGGCAGTGGTGGCGGCTGGGAGCCAGGAGTGGAGGATGGCAGAGCGCCAGGCCAACGGGAGGCCCGGGCACAGACAAAGGAAGGGGAGCAGGCACACTGGAGGCCTGGGTCAGGGGCCCTGGCAGGGGGCAGTGCTAGTACCTCATCTCATGGCCTAGGGCTGACTGCTGTCCTTTGAGTCTCCACCACCAGTAGGACTACTCTCCTGGTGCCTTCTCTCACTCATCACTTTTGTCATTCTCTGCTGTTCCCACCATCACCAATTTTAGTGCCTTCTAACTCAGACTTGCTCCCTTTAGCTGGATCTTCCCTGCTCTGTGCACTGGGGGAATTGGGTCAGAGCAGGAACTACAGAAAGGGAACTAGGAGAGCCTGTTTTGAATGATAGACCAGAGCTTTGATACATCTTGGAGTTTAGGGGCCATTCTCACAGTGAGAGAGATGGTCCCTTGTAGCTCCTGTGTGACTAGACATGCTGGGTGGGGGTTCTGGGCTGGGGGCAGAAGCCAGAGCACGTACTCCTCCCCAATCCCCATGTTGACAGTCATCTGAGGCTTGGAGGGGGAAGGGAGTGGGAATGGCTGCAGTTTCCAGGGCTGGGCTTGTATGTAGTAGGGTTAGAAATCTAGGATTCTAACCTCAAGCTCTCCATGTTCACTGTGACCTCTTCCAAGTTAGGATATATGACTCTGTGTGTGTATCTGTCTGTCTCCGAACACTTAAGATACTGCCTGTCAACACACTTTGTAAAGTTTAAAGTCAGGAAACAAATAATAGGAATTGTCAGTGGGGAAAAGTATGGGTATTCCAGAGTTGGTTGTCAATTTTCAAGGCAGTAGAAATGTCTGTTTCCTGGTGTTATGCTGTATGTTGCAGGACCTGGCCAAATGTCATAGGCTTTTTTCTTTTTGCTGGGTGAGGGTGGGGTGAGAAAGGGGAGCAGTACTGGGGTTTGAACTCAGGGCCTTGGGCTTGCTTCAGGGTCTCAGTCTTCCTAGGCAGGTACTCTGTCACTTGAACCATGCTTCCAGCACATAAATACCATAGATTTCGATGTTCATAAGCTGACCAGGCTGTGATAGGGAATAGTGAATAGGTTTCAGGAGGGTGGGAGATTTGTGGAGTGAGTCCCTGTATAAGAAATGATCAGGGTATGTATGTGATAATCTGCCACTGGTTTAGGGGATAAAACAGTTTGGATGTGTGTATTGAATGGGTGAATATGTGTCCCAGCTTCCAGAGTGTATGGAAGTTAGGATCTCATGCAGACTCTGTATGTGTGTGTCGGCCTGCATGTGTATGTCCAAAGCTTTGGTTTATTTAGGGTTTGAAGCATATCACAGGTGTAAGTGTACTTACAGTGATTTATGTGAAAGAGAGAAGCGTTATTTAAATGTATGGAGGATGTTCATAGAGCAAGGTACAATATTATTGCACAAGCAGTGTGTGTGTCATGAGAAATCTTGTCCTTGGGATTATGTGTGAATATTGTCGGTGGAAGGTAAGGACTAGAGACACTCAAATTGCAAAGAATGAAAGTAGGAGCCTCCTCCTCCACCCAGTGTGTGTATTTTCCCTTCCTGCGGCTCACTACCCAAGTTTCAGAAGTATCTCCTTGCTTCCCATCCCCTCCTGTCAAATAAAACTGGCCCTATCCCACTAACCACATACAATTTTTTAAAATCTGATGTGGTGAGGAGGCTCCAGCAGTCCCTTCTGAGGCCATTCTGGCGACCCTTGGATGAACAAGTTTGCCTTCTCTTCCTCTGACAGCACCTCTTTTCCCTGGCATCCACATGGCTTCAGGGGTGGTGGTGGGGAAGGAGGCTTCTTGCTAAGTGGATATAAGCCAAGAGTTGGAATTTAGCTGAGTTGGGGGCAGAGAAGCCTGGAGTGTCCCCCTTCCTCCAATCAGTGTTTACTTGGAGGCTGAAGTCAGAATGTGTCTCTGTCAAAAATAACCCCCAGAGCCTCCCCCCAGCTGCTCTGGGATTTCACCACTGGATCCCAGGGTGGCAGCCCAAACAGCCTTCAAGCAGAGATCACAGGGGCTAGGAAGAGAGATTTGTGGGAGCTTTGGCAGGTGGGTTGAAGATATTGAGAGTCTGCAGAGGCTAGCATCCTCTTCCACCCTTGCCTGTGACTTTGGCTCCCTAGCTCACTCCTGAGCACCACGCCTGGGGCTAAAGGGGTGCGCTTCGCTGCTGGTCCCCCCAGGCCTGTCCATCCAGCTCTCCCCCGGCCCAATCCGATCACTCCGGGTCTCTGGTCTTGGTCTCTTTTGTTTTTCTCAGTAGTCCCTCCTCCCTCCCTCCCTCCCTCCCTCCCTCCCTCCTTCTCTCCCTCCCTCCGCTCTTCCTCCCAGATCGCGGGGAGGGGGCGGGGCCGGCAGAGCAGCTCCACCCTCCGCCCGCCTTGGGGCCTCATTCGGAGAGTGGCTCGTAGAGCGAGCGGGGAGAGGGAGGGAGGAGGGAGAGAAAGGGAGAAAGAAGGATCCTGGCGGGCGCTGCGTGTGAGTGTGTGAGTGTGAGTGAGTGAGTGAGTGAGTGAGTGTGAGTGCCAGGCCCTGCCTCTCACGCTACCCCAGCAGAGGGGCCCAGTGGCTTGGGGAGGGCGGGCGGGCTGCTCGGAGGCAGAGTCAGCTAGCGGCGGCGGCAGGGAGAGCCGAGGAGGAGGAGGAGGAGAGAGGAAAGAGCGGAGCAGCCATTGTTGAGGGAAACCTTGCAAACAAAGAAGGCTCCGGACTCCCCGCGGCCCCCCGCCCCCCAGGCCGGCCCCCTGGCCTCTAGCCCCCGGCCCAGTGGCCATTGTAACTTTCCCCCGGGGCTGTGGCTGCTGCGGGGCGGGCCGAGGCTGTGCGTGCGAGTCTTTGTGCGGCTGGTGGAGTGGAGCTTTCAGCCAGGCCGGCCTGTCCCACTCGGGACATGAGCGACTGAAGTTGGCCCCACCTCAGTCCTCACCGCTGTCAGGGCCCCTCTGGGCTTCTAGGAGCTTCCTGCACCTCTCCTGGCCCCTTCAGTTCTCCCAGGTAAGTCTGGGTATCTTGCAAGCTTGTTGGGGGTGGGTAGAAGGCCTTCTGCCTGGCCCAGGCCTCATATGCTGGCAAGTGGAGAGGTGACCCCTCGTAGAGACAGGGCTACAGGCCTAGTGTCCTGCGATCAGCCCCCAAAAGAGGACCTGCCCTCAGGTCAGTCTGGTTACCATGGGAATGTCCAGCTGGAGGTACTCCCTCAGCCCCAGGATGCAGGTTCCAACCTGAGAAAACTTTGCTAATTCTGGGCTTTTCTTCTCTCCCCTTTCTTAAAGGCTCCCAGATTACTGGGAAGGAGTGTGTATGACTTTAGGGCTAGATGTCACATCCCCTTCTCTCCCACCCCCACCTTGCTCCCTCTGCTCCTGCTGCTGGAGACAGGGACAGATGGTCTGGGTGATGTCCCTCCCCTTCTCCCAGCCCCTTGTGCTGGAGCTACTGGGAGTTGCTATGGCTCTGGAGAGATGGTGAGCTTGTTGTGTCCATTCACTGGAGGTGTAAATAGAGGCCCCCAACCCTAAACAATGCCTGTCTTTTCTCCAGGGAAAGAAACTAAAGCTTTGAGATTTTCAGAATTGGAGATGAACTCAGTTGTCCTGCTTTCCTTCTCTTCAGGTTCTTGAGATGACACATTTCTTCAAGTGGTCCTAAAACTAAGGGAACAGTGGTAGTTCTGTTTTTGAGGAAGGATGACCTAGTTAGGAGATGAGGGCTAAACCTACAAATTTATATTCTTGGGTTCATTGCCCAGGCCTGGCCCCTAGTGGGCTTCCTTTATGGTTTTAGTGTACCTGTCTATGTAGTGGGAAGTCTGGGCACTGGGTGAACTGACTCTTTCCTGAGACACAGGCTCAGTCCAAGACTGGCATGTGTAGGCAGTGTATTCTGTGCTTGGAGCATGTGGACGTGGCCTGTGAGAGCTCTTGCATGGGGTGAGTGCCTTTTGTGGGCACCCTGATCCTGCCTGGGGCTGCTGGGTTCCAGCCCTTCATAGGCATGTTGGGGCGAGCCAAGGGTGGAAGCCTGCTAGGCAGGATGAGGCACACACATGTGCAGGCACACACAAGCTCTGACTCTTGGCACCTTCAGGGACTGTGTAGTATGGGCCCCTTTGGGAACCTTCCTTTTGCCCACATTGTGAGGAGAGGCCTCGAGAGAGAATTAAATGACACATGTTGGCACAGGGTCTTCCTTTGTCTCTTCCCCCCAGAAACAAAATTGGGGAGGGGGCTCAGATCCAATCAGTACAGCTACTCTTCCAAATGCAATCCAATTTGAGGAGCCTAAGAAAGCAAATATGACTGGAGCTAAAACCTTTGAGACCATGCCTTGGTTCCTCTTCCTTTCTGGTGGGGAGGGGAAGAATAGAGTTGCATGGGTACCTGGCTCCTACCCAACTATGAATTTAACTGTTTCAGTAAGGAAGTAGTGTATATGCTGCTAGATGATGTGGAAGAGAGTCTATACCCGTACCTGCCCAGATATACAATAGAGACCCTTGTGTTCGCGCTTTCTTTTTTTTTTTTTTTTTTTTGGTGATGGTACTGGGGTTTGAACTGAGGGCCTCATGCTTGCCAGGCAGGCACTCTATCACTTAAGCCACTCTGCTTGTGACCCTTGTATAGTTACCACTTGCCTTCTAACCTGAGCCCCCTAGGAACCTAGACTCTTTCCCAAGCCTCTTCTGTTCCATTTGTAAGTAGAATGGGATCCACTGCTGGATCATCTGTCTCCTTCCCCCAATGCAAGTCTCAAAAAGAGTTGAGGCTTTGGGTTTCTGGTTTGGAGACAATACTTAACCCATGGTGGGTGTGGGTGTGGGGCTGGACTGATAAGGTAATGGCGGTTGGTGGAGGAGGCAGAAGGGTCAAATGGTTATCAGGTGGGAGGCACCCAACAGGCATCCATCCCCCTTTATCTTTCTATCCCCTGCTCTCCTGAGACCATGGGGAGTGGAGGAGGAGCAGAGAGTTTTCCAGATTCCCCCTTTCTCCGCCCCACCTTGGAAACTAGAGGGCAGTAAAGGGGTCATATGGTAGAAATAGTATAAGATGTGGGAATTGGAATATCTGGGCTTGAATCCTATCTCTGCCAGTTATGTATGATCTTAGCCCTTTATGATCTTTGAGCTCTCAGTTGCCTCATCTATAAAGTGAGAATGCTAACATGAATCTTGCTACCACACAAGGTTGTTGTGATGATTGAAACTTGCAGATAAAAAGGGGTGTGTGTCAGAATTAAATTCTTATGTTCAGATATTTATTTATTCTATGATATTGACATTGCTTTCCACCTTTAGTTCTTCTGTCATCCAGGGCTCAGCCAAACAAATGGGGTCTTGACAGATTCAAGTCTGGGCTGGGATTAGGGCTGAATACCTCCTTAATTAAAAAAGGCTGGAGCCAGATTTAGAAGGAGCAATAGGTACTCCCTGGAGTAGTCCCCTTCCCCAGTTCACCACTCTCTTAACCAGGCCAGTGGGCTCCAAAAGACCAGTCTGTATCCACATAGTCTAGCAGGTTTCCAGGAGAGCTCCCAAAAGCTCAGGGGACTCTTTGTTCCTTTTTCTCTTTTAGGTTGTTCCTCAAAGTCGTTCAAGCTGTACTCTCCGAAGGAGCCCCCAAACGGCAACGCCTTCCCCCCTTTCATCCCGGCACCATGCTGGATAGGGATGTGGGGTGAGTCCCTTGCCTACTTCCCAGTCTTTCACGTGGAGCCTGCCTAGAAAGGGGAGGAAATGACCCCCCCCCCATAATTCCTGTCTTCCACCCTCATTCTCATAGCCTCTTCCCTTACACAGCCCAACTCCCATGTACCCGCCTACATACCTGGAGCCTGGGATTGGGTAAGTGGAGTTCAGCAGGAGGGAGGTGCTTTCCATTACATGGGTAAAGGCACAAGGGAGCATGATGGGAAGACGGTACTCCTACTGACTTCCTCCTTCACTCTCTAGGAGGCATACACCATATGGCAACCAAACTGACTATAGAATATTCGAGCTTAACAAACGGCTTCAGAACTGGACAGAGGTTTGGCCAAGGGAAAGAGATTGGGAGAGAGGGAGGTCCATCTGGGCACCCATGTGGGATGTCTTATGAAACCTATACACACACCTCTCTCTTTACTTACTAGGAGTGTGACAATCTCTGGTGGGATGCTTTCACGACTGAATTCTTTGAGGACGATGCCATGTTGACCATCACTTTCTGCCTGGAGGATGGACCAAAGAGATATAGTGAGTGGCCTCTGAGGGTTCTTCTGTGGGGGTGTATACCTTCATTCTAAGGTCTGGAAGTGGGTTTGAAAGTGCAAAGAGGTCAATCTTGGCAAGGAAGATATCTGCCTGGCCCCCTTTGTGTTCCCTCAGTCCTGATGAGTTTTTCCCATCTTTACAGCCATTGGCCGGACCTTGATCCCACGCTACTTCCGCAGCATTTTTGAGGGGGGTGCTACGGAGCTATATTATGTACTTAAGCACCCCAAGGAGGCATTCCACAGCAACTTCGTATCCCTCGACTGCGACCAGGGCAGCATGGTGACCCAGCACGGCAAACCCATGTTCACCCAGGTCAGCAACCCAACAGGATGTGGAATAACAGGGCACCTGAATTTTATTTCCTATCTCCCTACATGTACTCAAGGCTGTTCCTCAAAGAAGCATAATGAGAAGTTGCCAAATAAGAAGGGAGGGCCGGCATGCTGTAGCAAGCTTTCAGCAGACATTTATTTGGTTTGTGGGTGTCAGTTTTCTGGGCCCCAGGGTAAATAAGAGCCTGCCCTCATAGAGCTTATAGCAGATGAGTGTATCCTTGGCCTCTTGGGGAAGGACAAGAATCTGTTAAGCTTTGCAATTTATGTGTGTATGCATGTAAGGACCAGATGTGACAAGTATATGGGAGGTGGGGGGAGGGGGTGTGTGCCATGACAGTATGTACTCAAATTTATGCGTAGGTAGCAGAAGTGTATGCATTGGGAAAGATGTAAGCAAAGGGGAGAACTGTAACAGGCACATTTTCGTGTATGTGGATAGGGGACAGTGTTGTGACAAGCCTGTCCCCCAGGTGTGTGTGGAGGGCCGGTTGTACCTGGAGTTCATGTTTGATGATATGATGCGGATAAAGACGTGGCACTTCAGCATCCGGCAGCACCGAGAGCTCATCCCCCGGAGCATCCTGGCCATGCACGTGAGTTTTGGGTAGGACACAAGACACAGGGAAGGCAAGCAGTGGGAGGATGAAACCAGGTCTGCTATTTCCTGATTATGACCTTAGAAGAGGAGGGTTTCATCATCTGAAAAATGGGCTAGTGTTAAGCCCTTTTTCTTTGAGGAGTGTCACAATGTTCAGATGCTAGGGCCGGTGAGCAAAGGCAGTCCAGATGCCAGTGTTCTTGTCTTCCACTCTAGGCCCAGGACCCCCAGATGTTGGATCAGCTCTCCAAAAACATCACCCGGTGTGGACTATCCAATTCCACTCTCAACTACCTCCGAGTGAGTCTCCTAATCACTGTTTCTGCCCCATCCTGTTGATCTCAGCTGCGTGTATCTCCCCTGACGAGCCACCTCCTATGGTCTGCCCCCAGCTCTGTGTGATACTCGAGCCCATGCAGGAGCTTATGTCCCGCCACAAAACCTATAGCCTCAGCCCCCGCGACTGCCTCAAGACCTGCCTTTTCCAGAAGTGGCAGCGCATGGTAGCACCTCCTGGTGAGTGCCTTACCCTCACCCTTACCCTTATCAGGACCTGACCCAGTTCCCCAAGGCTGTATCTTTGTTTTCTTATGAAATTCCCTCTGCTCCTTCCTTGCTCCTGGGTGTACAAGACTGAAGACAGGGTGGGCTTGGGCTCCTGAGGAGCCAGAATGTAGAACAGTGGGCCCAGGGCCCTTTCCCACTGGAGTTTCCTTTCCCTGGCACAGCGGAGCCTGCACGGCAGCAGCCCAGCAAACGGCGGAAACGGAAGATGTCAGGGGGCAGCACCATGAGCTCAGGGGGCGGCAACACCAACAACAGCAACAGCAAGAAGAAGAGCCCAGCCAGCACCTTCGCCCTCTCCAGCCAGGTACCTGTAAGCATCTCGGCTTTCTTCTCTCTTCTGGGCTGCCCCACCACTCGCCCCTGACCCATGTCTAAGCCTGAGCACACAAGCAGGCATAGAAGCAAAGACAGTTTTCCCAATGTACTCTGCCAGCATGAGCTGACTCCTTTCATTGATGAGAGAATCCTTCGCAGGCACATACATGATGGTAATCACATAGACTCAGCCATAGACACATAGAGCATAAAAGGACAGACAGCTATGAGAACATACGGACGTTCAGGACAGACAGCCTCAGGCACATGCCATGTGAAATACACACACCCACGCTAATAGACACACAGACTTGAATGTGTTTGCATATCTGAAATACACATGCATGTACACATTTCTCTCCCTCATTGTTTTCATCTGCTCCTTCTCTCTTACACGTGGACAGAAGTTTAGGAGCCCCCTAAAATCTGGGAGAGATGGATTAGGGAGCTAGGCGAGTGGATTGGTATTTCTTCCCAGAATCTAACGGATACGGGCTGTGATGCTCTGGTGCCCTTCAGTGGGAAGGATTCCAGGAGCTGAGGGTGTCAGAGGAGTTGGGGTTTTGAACTTGGGTGTGTGAGGAGGGGGTTGGGAGTGTTGATCTTCTAGGGTGGGTATGGGGGTTCTGGGGATATCTACTGCCCTGGGCCGGGCGAGCCCCTGCCCCGATTATGTTTGGGGACCTCCACCACTCTCAGGATGTGATGGTGGTGGGGGAGCCCACCCTGATGGGCGGGGAGTTCGGGGACGAGGACGAGAGGCTCATCACCCGACTGGAGAACACCCAGTTTGACGCGGCCAACGGCATTGACGACGAGGACAGCTTTAACAACTCCCCTGCACTGGGCGCCAACAGCCCCTGGAACAGCAAGCCTCCGTCCAGCCAAGAAAGCAAATCGGAGAACCCTACGTCACAGGCCTCCCAGTAAAGGCCCTGCCACGGCTATCCAGCGCTCTGCCTGCCTGCCCCAACCCTCGCAGCCCCAGGGAGCAGAAGACAGAATGAAGAGACTAAGCATCTAAAATGGGCAGCCTCCATCCACCCACTTCAGGGAGGAACTGAACTCTTTGGGGGCAGGTGCCAAGATTTGCCCTCCAGTGGCCCTGGGCTGGGCCTGGTCCCTGCAGAGTCTTGGGGTTGGGGGAAGGGAGTACTCATGTGGATGCCTACATGGACCCTGGGCCTCCTGAGAAATGTCGTGACCCCTCCACCCCCCAGGGCATTTGCCTCCATTCTCACCCCAGGTTCTGGGTTTTACACCTCCTGATTTCCCTCTTCAAGCCTGGGGTTGTCTATACCCATAGTCCTTAGGGGCTTAAAGTTTTGGGGCTTGGCTGAATGCCTCTCCCCAAAGGTGGCTGGTAATAGAGGGGTAAAGCTCTGGGCTCCTCCTCCCTTCTGCCACTTATCCCAGCTCTAACTTTTTAAAAAAAATAATATTATTAAAAATGTAAGTTTTAAAAAAACATCATGTCCCCCCTCTTCCCCATGTTAAAGTCCAGCTACCTCCCTCCTGGAAAATGGGGGGCCTAGGATCCAGGTGGGGTGAGAGTGGGGGCCGGGGATAAGCATACCATTTTATACAGTTTGAGAACTTCAGACCAAGAGACACTTTGCCATCTCTTTTCCCTTTTCCTCTGGGGTGACTAGAGTTGGGGAAGGCATGCCATGGCTAGGGGTGAGGGGGTTACTGATAGCCACGTCTTTGTGACAACCCCTGCTGTTGTCTGTCTTCCCATCCTCTGGGACTCTGGCCTGTCCTACTAGTACTTGTGACTCCCTCTGTTCCAGCTCCACTCTCCACTCCCATGGTGTGTATATTCTTTAGTCTTTGATGGGGAGAGGAGAGGCTCCCTCCCCTAGGGAGGGTGGAGGGAAAGGAGCATACTTGTTTGTCACTGTTTTGTTTTGTCTCAGTCCAACAGGCATGAGATGGGAAAGGGCCTCATCCATTCTTATCCAAAACCCTCTTCCCCCAATCCCTCAAACTACATGTCTAGTCCTAGCCACCCCCCTCCACAGAGGGGAAGGAACCACTGAGGACATCCCAGCTCTAAGCCCACCAGAGAGAAATAGGCCTCTGTTTCCCACCCCCAGCTGAGGTGGAGGTTCTTTATCTCCCAATAACCCCTCCCTACCCTCATAGAAGGAAGGGGGGCAGCCAGGATCTCAGCTTCATTTCACAGTTGAATGTGTGGAGGCTCAGTGCCAGGAGGAGGCCAAGAGCGGGGTCCTTTCAGGGTCCCAGACTCATGGCTTTTCTGCCTTTTCCTGTGGCAAGTCCCAGGAAGTGTCAGTGCCACCTCTCTCCCCATTCTTCCCTCTGGGTTATGGGGTCCCTTGTACCCTATTTCCTCCATTCCAACCACTTTTGGGAGGGAGCTGAGGGAAGGGGTAAGGAAGGTGGGTGACCCCACCCCCACCCCAACTGTAATGCCTTTTTTTCTTTTTTTTTTTTTTTTTTTTTTTTTTTTTTTTTTTTGGGCCATTTGAGTCATGTATGGTACCGATCAATAAAGAGACTTTTTGGTTTAAGAGTGTCATTGGTCATTGATGCCAATAAAGACAAGGCAATCTTTTTTTCCCATCCTCATAGTTCCTAAGGCTCATGGATTTCCCTCCCATCTCAGATTTCCCCTCACTCTTCTGAAATTGTTTCCCTGAATTATGCCCATTTCACCTCAGATGCCAAAGTTTGTCCCCAGATGTCCCAGCCTGGCTCCATCTCCCTCAGAAGTTGGCTTTCCCTACTCCAACCCCCCCAGTTGTTGCTCCTCACCCCTAGCTGTTATGAGGCTTGACAGGTGGCTCTCCTGAGGCAGGGTTCCTGCACAGAGTCCTGGAGTAGATTGTTGAGGGAGGGGTGGCAGATGGGGTCCTTGCCTAGGAAGGGTCCTTGGGTTGGAGGGTCTTGGATCAGAGTGCCTTGGAGGCTTCCTTTTATCTGTGAGATTCTTACCCCTACCCAGACTACTAGCCCTGCTGAGATCTAAACTGATCTCCCCAGGTGCTGATGTCCCTGGGTGGGGTGTTAAGAGAGGAGCAAGATTGTTTATCTCCTGCTGATTTGGGGTGGGGGCACTGAAGGAGGAAGACCCCTATGTTCCATAGGGATATGGAAGGAGGAATAGGGCCCCCTCAGATTCCTAGTAGTTCTGTCTCCAGGTCCCTCTTCCCCATCATTAAAGAGCATTGCCAAGATAGGGAGACCCTGCTGTGGGTTGGAGATGAGTCTTAGCATCTATAACCCCCCCTACCAGTGTCCCTCATTTTCATCCCAGGCAGGGGAAGCTGAGGCCTCAGACCATTTCCCCACTGAGGTCTCTTTGGATCTGAAGTAAAGCCTGAAAGACCTGCGCTTCTACCTCACCTCCCCAGCTGGCAGGAAGACACCAGAAGAAAGGACTACCTGGCCCACCCCACCCCTCTCCAATCCACAAGGTTACCTTGGCCCTGTCATGCTGCCATCCCAGCTCCTCATAGCCCCACTGCCTCAGGACCCCAAGGACTACACTTGCACCACCACCACCCTACTCCTGTAGGCCTGTCCCGACAAGGATATTTACCAGCCAGCTGCCACCACCAATTCATCCTGAGAATGCCAGGTAACGTGCAGTAAGTCCATGTCTGGCACTGGGTGCACTCGGGCCTCTTTGAGTGTATGCTAGTGTGTGTATGCATGTGATCACTGAGCTGGGAGAGGACCTGGATATGTGCAAGTATATGTCAAGGCAGTGTAAACTTGTTAGTGTGTATGTGTGCACACATGTGTATGTGTCTGGTGTCTGTTAGTGAATTCATTCAGCTAGCATTCACTGAGCCCTCTCCAGGTGCCAGGCCTGATCTAGGTGCTAAGGATATGGTATTGGATAAGATAGAGAAAACATGTCAGCTAGGTGCAAGTGGAGGCTCTAAGCACAATATAATTTGGATGTGTTGTTTAAATGTATAGTTTGTCATTGTGATTGTGTTTGGTTATTGGTTGCTGTGGCAGTTGTGTGACAGAATTGGGCATTTGTAGGTTCACATCCTGTATATGTGTGTGTTGAGGAGGAGGTTGGGGAAGAGGTAGAACTCCAGGCTCAGACCCTGCCCTGCTTGGGGGAAAGGAGAGAACTGAGAGACAGGGGAACTCAGTATTTGAATTCAGGAAACATGGTGGCTGCCCAGTGGCCATGGCAACTTCCTCTGAAGCCCCAGACTTGGCTCCTCCCCATTAGCCCCCAGCAGCCCCTGTGGGGAAAGTTCCTGATGAAGAATTATGAGGTAACTGAAGGAAGAGCACCTTCAAGACCCTCATACCCTCTATTTCCAGGTGTAGGTGTGGGCCCAGTCTTAGCTCAGCTGTGTGTACCACAGCCAGGGGTCCTGAACCAGCAGAGGCATGAGCTCTGAACTCAATCCCAGACCTCTGTATTTTCCACTGAATCTCCAGCTCATCCTTCTCCTCAGCTCCTTCCCCACATTTCCTGGTCTAGGCAGATTCAGCTTCAGCCCCTTTCCTACGACTTTCCTCTAATCTAGCGCAACCTCTGGCCCCTTTGATACCTGATCTCAGACCAGCCTGACTTCTAACCTTTCTTCAAAGGGAGGACTCTAGCCCCGTTCAATATGAGTCCCTTCCTAAGACAAAAACTCTTAAGCAGCTCTTCCATATCCAGAGCCCTTCCCCAATCCTCTTTCACAAAGTAGAGCCTTATCTTGGGATTGGTAGAAGTAGATGAAAAGGTAACTGGTTCAGAAGTATATCCTGGAAGAAGGGAAGGGCAAGGAAGCCAGGGAGATGAGGGGCCTGAGGTGCTGAGGATGCTCAGGTGTGCTCTGGGTCAGGTTGAAGGAAAGGCAGTGTAAAAAATAAGTCTGACAGCACTTGGAAGGCTGAGGTAGAAGAGAGGACCGTGAATTTGCAGTTAGCATGGGCTACATAGGAAGACCTGGTTCAAAAAACAAAAAGTCGGGCACTTGTGGCTTATGACTGTAATCATAGCTACTCATGAAGTAGAGATCAGGAGGATCTCAGTTCAAAGCCAGCCCTGGCAAATAGTTGAAGAAACCCTTTTTTTTTTTGTGGTACTGGGATTTGAACTCTGAGCCTACACCTTGAGCCACTCCACCAGCCCATTTTTGTGATGGGCATTTTTGAATGAGGGTCTCAGGAACTATTTGTCCTGGCTGGCTTGGAACTGCAATCCTGATGGCTGCCTCCTGAGTAGCTAGTATTATAGCATGAGCCACCAGCACCCGGAAAAGAAACCTTATCTTGAAAATATCCAATATAAAAAAGAGCTGGCAGAGTGGCTCAAGCCTGCCCAGCAAGCATGAAGCCTTGCGTTCAAACCCCAGTACCACCAAAAAAATTAAAAAGAAATAAAAAATAATAATACAGTTCCAGGCCAGATTTCAAAGATATGGTTTTGTCCCTGCTGGCCCTGGCTTCCTAGTAACCAGAATGTTTATGATTATCTGCTGACTATCATCCCTGTGACCATAATACCATTTTCTCAGGGTCCACCTCAGGAGCTCCTCCCCAACCCTGCTTCCACCCTGAGGTCTTTGATGAAGCTTGTACAGGAAATGGGTGGGAGATTATAGATCCTGCAGTTCTTAGCATGGGAATTGGGGGAAGCTGAGTGGGAATGGAAACTGACCCACACCTCCAAGATCATTATTTAGCCTCAGGATGGGGCAATTTTCCCCCAGATTCCAGGACCCCTTTCCTAAAGTAGCTAAACTTTTGGATTACTTCCCTCCCCATTGCCTCAGCTCTATGCCACCAGCTCAGCTCTCCTGGAGGAGAGTACCTGATGAAAAGTCTCAGAATGGGTGGGAGAAAAGAATCTTTTCCTCATCACCTCCAATAAGTAAGATTGCATGGAGGAGGTAGGCATAATTTCTCTCCTTTTAATGAACATCAGGTACACAGAACTAGATTAATCATAACCTTGGTCATGACACTTTCATCTTTGCAGTACATAAGTGCACATACAATGCACATTTATTCACTTTTAACACTGTGATAAGAATTCATCAGTATGAAAGCTAGGACTTTGGCAATATGGACTTTTGCTATGTGGTTATCCTCCTCCAAGCCCTCTTTCAAGTTAGCCATAATTCTCTTGTTTTCTTTTTATATATTTATCTATCTGTGTTCTTTTTGAGGGGTTGAACTCAGGGCCTCACACTTGCTAAGGAGATACTCTACCACTTGAGCCACTCCACCAGCCCTTGCTTTAGGTTTTTTTGGTTTTTTGGTTTTTTTTTTTGAGATAGGGTCTTATGAACCATTTGCACGGGCTGACTTCAAAACAGTGATCCTCCTGATTTCTACCTCCTGATTAGTTAGGATTACAAGTGTGAGCCACCAACAGTTTTTTTTGTTTGTTTTGTTTTTTGGTGGTTCTGGGGTTTGAACTCAGTGCCTCGCACTTGCTAGGCAGGTGCTCTACCACTTGAGCCA